GCATATAGCTCTAGCGACTCCACTCTGGCCGGCCGGTTAAGGCAAGCCAGAGGTGAAAGTCCTGCAGACCCTCTCCGATTCCACTTCGGCAAGCCGAAGACGAGGGTCTTGACCGACTCTCGGGAGCACTCGGATTAACAACTGGCCCCGTGGTGTCGCTACTCACCAACAGCTCGCCACAAAGCTGCCCTGCGGGGCTTATTATTATTATTATTCTCTTATACAACAGAAATACATGTACAAATTACAGGAAGTAACAAGCACAGGCACAATGTAATCGTTTTCTACTAAAAGCTTTGGAATCAATATGACAATTGTTACACGTAGGTATTTCTTTTCCCGACATAAATTGTTTCTATCAACATCTTAATTTGGACATTCATGTTTATTACTCCTTCCTACGATTCCCTCCTACACGGTCAAACATTACGGTGCTGTAGTAGATAAAGGCAATAAACTAAGAATCACTTTCACTGCTATAAGTAGCATTTACTTTCGGTGATTGAACCTAAATTTTGGATAGAGTATTATAGAGTACATATTATTATAGGATTCACATTCTTCTTCTTCTACCTCGCCTTATCTGGCGTCGGTTTTCGATTGCGCCGTCATTTGATTCTATCCTGAACGTCTTATTCATGGAGTCCCTTATACTTTCATGTCCTTTTGGACATTCGTCAACCAGACGTATAGGATTCGCATTCACTTTAGTTTATTTCTAAACTAGCTTTTGCCCGCGGCTTCACCCACATGAAATTTCGTTTGTCACAGATCGTCATAAATTATAGCCTAAGAGCGCTTGTAGACGTCCGTTTTTTCACCGGACGACGGACCGTCAAAAAACGGATATCCTTGGTTTGCTGTCAATTTTCTCGCCGGACCTATGTCCGATGCATGTGCACACGTTCATTATAAACCATACGCCACCGCTAAATCCGGTGAAAAAATCGGGCCGTTGTCCGGTCAAAAAAACGGACGTCTACAAGCGCTCTATATGTTATTCTGGGTTATAAACAATAATACTGTAAAGTTTCATCAAAATCCGTTCAGTAGTTTTTGCGTGAAAGAGTAACAAACATCCAGACATCCAAACATCCAAACTTTCGCATTTATAATATTAGTAGAAAGGATAGGATGGGCAAGATATAAAAAATATTATTTGTATTAAGTACTTATATTCTGTAATGTCTCTGCCCGAAATTCCGAATGCAGACATAAAGTGGGCGTCCGACCGAACTAGCCGCTTTCTATTGCGTATCCGATTGCGCAAGCGCCGAACTTAGGTCACTGCGTTGGTTTGCGTTGATCTAAGCATTTATTGTTGATGAATTATAGTTAGTTACAAAATAAAAACGGCCTTTATACTTACTTATGCTTCGGCACGGAAGATATTAATGTAGTGTTTTTATTGGGACTTGGATTTCGCCTAAAAAACTTGAAAGCGTTTGAAATTCGGGGCCATGAAAAAACCTCTTCGCATGGTAAGAAAAATTAAGTTATCAGAAAAAAAAAATTGTTCAGCTGAAAGGTCCCAAAGCGCGAGTTCTTAAACTTTCTGTGATATCGAACCAATGGTCTACTGATTAAGCTTACCTAATTAAATGAGCCTTAGCTCATCTCTACAATAATTAAACCTCATAAAGCGTCTATTGAAAGTCGTAGAATTGCATAGAATATTGAATTCTCAGTATTATTGATATGAAACCATTTTGTGTTTCACTTAAGACATGAATTATTATTCAGTATTAAACCCGACACTTTATCGCCAACAGGTTCGTGACACAATTTCGGTTCACAAATATCACGATGACCTTTCACAATCAAGCGTGACCCGACCTGACCTTAATCACTTTATACAAAATGGGGGAAGCTACTGAAAAGTTACCTTTCCTTGTTTATCTTTTGAGTGATCGACGCTGGAAATACAGTTTATTTACCACTTAGCCTCACTTGTATTGTATCAACTTAACTTTAACCGTAACAATAAACAGTGTTTTTGTATGGAGTTTGACAGTCTTTTGACGTAATTGTTATAGTTAGGTAAAGTAGGATAGTGCAACACAGGGTTTAGCATTTGAACTGTAACTACAAAGTAGGTAAGTATTACCCTTTCAGAATCCTTATCTAAATTTTCAGAATTGGAATGAGATAAAAGGCATTTGAATGGAAATTGTATCGTAATCTCCATCGCACTTGATAGAAACTGCATGCATTCCAACCACGTTATGTTTAGATTACACCTATGACTATAATGATGAAAAATGACAAAGATGACGATTATGATATTGAATGCGACGCGGGACAGGATAGAATACACACGCCAGTTTACCACTCCCCTCAGGCCGACTGAGGGGAGCTGATGGACTGATAGATGACACTAGGGGAGGAGCGTCCTCTCTGCAAGGCAGGCATAGCATAGATAGTTGGGAAATATTAAAATATCTTCACTTCTTATCTGAAACAGCAATACAACGTCAAGGTTTATTTAAAGTTTCAGTATTAAATTGATTGAATGCATTACGCTTCGAGAAAAAACATTTAGCGTACCTTGATGCCACTACTTTCTGCTTATGGTGTCATCAGAGTACTTATAATCAGCATCGAGATATTCCCTAGGCTGCGAATGGCCCTGGGACTTTTGGACCTTGGATCCGTAAAGGCCGATTCACACATATCAGTGAAGTCACAGTTCAGGCTCAGTACCGGCACAGTGCGAAATATTCTTTCATACAGTTTCTATGAACGCATCCCCACTTGTCATCTTAAGGGCCACCGTGTCTGGTCATCGTTTCACAGGCTTTCCAAGGCTGCGTCTTCCATTTCGTGGTTGCTATTAAAAGGACATTTTCTCCAACAAAGGCGATGAATGAAGCTATAGTTACACAAACAAATTTTTTAACTAACCATCTTTCATCTTTATGCACCTAGGTGTGTGTAAGTAAAATTCGTAATAAATAAATTGAAGCGATCTATTATAGCCCTATTACTATGCCAAGCGTATCGCAATACCTACGCCCAGTGGCGGATTTACAAATTTGCCGCCCGTATTCTTTGTTGTTGGATCTCATTTGACTTTTATCTTCTGAAATCGAGTAAGCGTCCTCTGAAATCTGCCGCCCCTATGCCACGGCCTATACCGCCTATTGACAGAGCCAGGACTGCCTACGCCTAATAATACGCCTAACCTAAACACAAAAATTACCGAAAGTTTACAAGTTGGTAGCACGTTTGCCGCCATTTTTATCGCATTAAGTGGTCAGTTAAAAATAGACGTTACGGAGCCAATTGTGCTTTATGGCGAAGTTTACACGTTGTGGCTGCGCGTGCGCTTGCCTTCAAAAGCATCGAAAAACAGAGTTATTAACCTGTCATAAGGTTAAAAATAGATTGACTCTTTAGATTGATGTTGTATTTTTGGTATTTTTTGCGCTTAGTTTAACCAAGCGAAACAATGTACCGATTAACGATCTTCGAGTTCAATTAATGAATTTATAGGCTTAATGAACAAAAAAATAATAAGCCCTAAGGATTTATTTTTCTTCTCTACGACACACCTGAGTTAGGTGGTGCGTGTCGAGTGAGAGAAGGGTATTGGATGAAAAATCATAATTATAAATTACATCGTTCCGATAGATGTAGATTGTAGGTGCTTACACAAAAATTTCTGCCATGCAAGTTCTGAAGAAAATCAATACGGTCATGACTATGGCACTTTTAAACCTCTAACTACTCAGGCTTCATTGCTCTATACTATAATAGACCTTTAAACCTTTGTATCGCTCGATGACCTAAAGGTCAAGGAAAATTTTTCAAGAACCGTGTGTGAGTAAATTGAAAATGCTAAACTTTTTAAAGCACCATTAAAGTTGCGTTTGAGAAAATCTCTTTTCCCTACCTTCCCTAGAATGATAAATTTAAATAACTAGATGTATAATTTTTAATAATTAATTAATTATCTACTGACCTTTAAATACCTAATAGGCTAGTTGCCTAAAAAAATTTTTTTAGTCCGTAATGTTTAATATCAAAAAATATTGGACACATATATTTTTATTTGTCAATCTAACAAATAATTACATAGTTATGGTGCGTTGAAGTTGCGCACGACGTCACAACGTGCGGCATTTTTAAGCAAGCGTTGACGTCACGGGCCTCTTCTTATGAACTTTGGGGCGCTTTAGCTCTTTAAATTTTCATTAGTTTGAAAAAGTGAAAAATACGTGTAGAGTATTTTTTGATAAGTTAACTGACGGACTAATTAAAACTCTTGCTTTTTGACCCAGGCAACATCCCCATTGTCCTATGAGTCACCAATTTCAAATTAATTGTTTACCACAGTCACAATATGTCATGTCTGACGTCCCCAGTGATGGCATACTCCCTTAAAGGCGTTGTAATTATTTATTACGAGGACAATGCCTATTGTTATTCATAGCGATTAGAGCCTTTCCATATTCAATATTGTCTTAAGGTCACTGAGGCAATAACTAGCGACATCTTTGACTGTATGGCACTGAGGTTCACAGAGACATTATTTTTAAGTAGTTCGACACCAACTTGCATCAATTAGTAATTTGGTGGAGAATTAGTGGAGAGAAAAAAAGAATACTAGAGAGTGTTACAGAAATAGTGGAAGATACTTCTCATCAAATTCTTACTACCTATCCCTAGCCTGAATTATGAAGGCAGAAAGAGATGCACTTCTAGTCATCATGATGATGCTGATGATTACTTACTTGGGCACAGAAAAAGCGGTACTTGCACAGCAATGCTAGGAAAATAATAGCTGTACGGACACCGAACTTGTTGCAGTCAGTTTAGATTAGATAAACGCGAAATACAACTCAATGATTAATCACGAAATCTCAGAAACTAAAACACCTACAAACTTGAAATTTGGCAGGTAGGTTCCATATAGGGTGTTACGAAACTCCACCCCTGAAAACGGGCGTAAAACGGGATCCACGCGGGCGGCCGCTAATTGTTATTATTTTTCTTACCTGCAACACAGAAGCGACCAGCGCAGTCATAGCGATGTACATGAGGTGTTCCCTGGCATAATCGTGCAGGGGCTTCCCACAGCCTCTCTGGAACATGGCGGAGCAGTCGGCCGTGTACGGCTTGAACTGGGCGTCCAGGGGCCCCTGCCCGCAGCAGGAGAAGGGGACTGCGCCCTTCTTGCCAAAGTCGTTGGGCCCACCCACGCCGCAGCATTCGAACTAGAAAGAGCGGGAAAACATTTTAGTAAAAGTCAACCTTGAAAAAACATGAAATACTGACACGAAAATAAGTTAAGAAAGACAGAAAAAAATCTAAAATACAAACGCTGCCCGTCATGGTTTAGATTTCATGTTTTTTTTTCGAAGAGGCTATGGATTTTATGGACGTCGCAGGACCAGTCTTTGTGGAAAAACTTGGGGGCCGCCTTTGTCAAAGTAGATAAATCACTGTGCCGAAAGACGTCCAGCAGTGGACGTCTTTCGGCTGAAACGAACGATGGATTCTGTATGGTAACAACAAACAGAGATGAGTAACTTTATAAAAATGTTGGGATGATAAAAGTGCTATCAGAACAATTTTCTGTTTTAACCTCTAGATAGACTATTAATTCAGGCAAAACCTAGCATCAAAATTTTAAAATCAAGCGGTGTATGTAAACCGTACGTAAAGTGGTAGGCAAGTACAGTAACCACAAAAATAGTAACATCATCATCAACATGCGGTGTAGGTCACGCACGCGTGGTCTAAAACAATCACGCCGACGCTCTCACGGAACACTTCAAGGTCCCTTATCAGAACAATTAAATGAAAAGTGTAGTTTTACACTAAAGTAGTTTGACATCACTCATTTTTATAAAAGTTTAAAGCTTTCAAAGCTACCAGAATCAAATTGTAATAATTAGAATCCATGTCGCACTTTGTTATTATTTTTAAATTGGTAGGTAACAGACTGAAAATTCCTTGTTGAAAAACTCATAACTCTTTAGATATAATGAGAGCACGAGGTTATTTTCATATTGATTAGCTAGATTATTACAATAAAGCGTGAAGGGTTTTCCAATAAGTACTTGGACATAATCTGGTGAAATCCAACGGGATTTATTGTAACCTTTTTTATCATGTTTGTTATCCGTTTCAAAGTCGTTTTCTCTAACTACGATAGAGTTGATATTGGATTAAAACTGTCTTTTAAACTGGATTATTCCTCTCATTTCCACCGCTGCAAATTCTGCAACTGGTAGCCAGAATCTATTGCCGTTAAGTTGTAACCAATAAAAACCCAACCAATGAAGGCCAAGTTTGTTCCAGGGGAAACTTACACTACCATTGGACCCGTAACAAGATGGATCAGAAGAAGAAAACTGTCTATTAGTAAACTCAGTCCCAGATAAATCCTTATTTATTTAGGGCCTAGATAAATAAGGAGTTATGTGGCCTATGGCCCACATATAAAGTGGTAAGTCACCTTGACATGAAGTCTATCCCATCTTATAGCGTCAGCAGACTCCGGCTGGTTGGCGGCCAGCATCTGGTTGAAGTAGCCCGTCATGGAGTTCTTGATGTCGATGTCCACGCTGTCCCACACCACCATGGCCCACACGAAGCACGAGAATTCCACCACCACCACTATCACGATGAGGACGCCAGTCTGGAAATGCCAAAACATAGTATCGTTAAGTCCAATCAATCATTCTATTATCACAGTTTTATCAGCCGTGTGGTTCCGGCATAAGAGAACAGAACTAAGTATCTCCACTCTTCCCGTGGAGGTCTTAGATGGCAAGTAGGGACATTGCAAACATCAGCGGGCTTCCCCAAACCGTCTGCCTACTGCCTAGCGTGAGTGTAAAGCGAATCCTCCATTTGTCTCTAGAGAGAGCCACAAATTGAAGCATGAATTATAGCAGGAATTGAATATGTAATTATGTAGGCATATTTTGGTAATCTCAAATTAATGTATGAATTAATTATAGGTAATTAATTAATTTGATTTGTAGGCGCAATCAGCAAAATACCCACCAATATGACATGGATCTGATGCAAGGACTTGGCTGTCCTCCACCCAATCCACGCTATAGAGCATGTAATGATGGCCATCATCAGGAGCAGGATAGCTGGATACTCCACATTGACTCCGATGAAGTGCCGATACACGAACAACCTGTATAGCAGGTAGCCGCTCGCGCCAAACAAGACCACTGCTGACATCTGTTGAGACACAACAACAACTCTATTAGAACCAAATCATACCCGACTAAAACCGAATGCATTGCCGTTCTATCAAATCTGTAGTTTTTCCTGGTTATACTTGCACGTAAATCCGTAGCTACTAGCGCCACTAACAGGTGGATTTCAGATTTATTGGAGAACTACGCGATTTGGCAGTATTTAATTAATTGAACGTACAATGCACTCATTAATAGAACTCTTCGTGAAACTTTTAACTCATTAATTCTAATTAAAAACCGTGTCATGAGCACAAGGGAATAAATTGGAACAATGTCTAATACATTCTAAGAAACTACAATATTTTATTAGATTCACTAAATCAAATGCATGTTTTCACTGTGTTGTTATGGAAACAAAGCGCGCTGATTCAGCATACAGGGGAACCGTGTCAATCGAGTTCACAAAAGTAGTTAAAACTGTACTCACCGCGAACAAAACATTGAAAGTTAACACAAGATATTTCCAGCAATTTGTCGAGAGAGCCATTTTGGTGTTCCGCCTTCACATATCCAAGATCTTGTTTGAAACTCGAGTAAAAACAAAGAGCGGTCGTTCCACCTCAGAGATTGTTTGTGTATGTCGCCGACCGTGCGCGTGCGTCTCCTCCGAGTGATGCAACTGCTCAGAATTAACCATTCGACATTTATCAAAACTAACTTTATCGTTAAATCTTTTGGCCAGAACTATGGGCGCGCCTATTCTTGGAGCGCTATTAATCTTTTGTTCTTCGGGATTATTCGTATGTCGCGATCAGGTGTTATCGCTATCATTATGTTATCAGATACTGTGTTGAGGTGACGGTGGTTTGGCTAACCTACTTTCTGTCGCTCACTCTCGGTGAAAAGCAATGTTTAGTTATAAATAGCTCAGTGACACCTCTATTTTAGCGACACAGTGTTCCGTCACTGATTCCCACAGGATCTTTTTTAACAAAATAAAAATAAGTAGATAGGTGCAACCTACCTAACTATAAGCAAAGGCTATTTTTTACATCAAAGTAATTGAAATCCCTTGGGCTTCGTTTTTATGATAATTTAATTAATGAAATTTACATTAAGTACTTAAGCATTTTTCATGGAGTTTGATACGCAATAGATAAAACTTATCGTCGTCATAAGTTCATTCTGTCCGTAAGCAGAATTTTATCAACATACCCTAATTCCAATAGGTACCTACATAATGATAAAAACACAACATTAATTTAATTTATTTGCTTTAATCAAGTCATTACAATACGAGAAATAAGAAAGGAGATTAATATTATAAACTCGGACTAAACTAGTAGTAATCACAGAAGCACAAGTTTTTCACTAGCGTATCTGGCAAGGTCTCCACTTGAATAATATCCATGACTTTCTTAACTTCTTCATCTATGTCTGGTGACAAAGGACCAACCTGCTTCGCGGTTCGGAGCATGGTCCTCGCCTTGTTCACGTCCCTCTGGTACATTGCTAGCAAAGCAAGCACTGCCCATCCATCAGCCAACATTGGCTCAGTCTTCACAGCAGCCGACGCCCATCGTTCGGCCAAACCTTCTTCGCCAAGTTTTGCATAAATACGACCAATAGTAAGCGCAGAGTGAGCAGAAGGAGCAATTTTGTGCGCCCGAGCTGCTCTTTGAAGTGCCGCGCCTGGATCTATTTTAAAACCTGATAAAGCAGCCTTCAACAACAATGATGGACACGATTCGGCTCCAGCTCTCTCCGCATCAGAGAGAGATTTCTCACACTCCCCGTCCCAACCGCGAGCGCAAGCCAAACACGTGGCCCTCATTTGTGACATCATTGGAGAGGGACCAAACTTCTGTATGCCCTCATCAGTTATCACCAAGGCCTTCGCTATTTCACGCTGTATCAGACACGCTGCAGCTCTAACGTAATAAACGTCAGCCCCTGTTTTCGTTTTTATCCCGAAGCGAGAACCACGCGTTGCACATCCCAATTCGTAACATTGCAGCAATCTTTCACTAAAAGCATAGCATCGTAAACAGAGGAAAAACGCTGCTGCGATTAACATGGGATTATCAAAAGACACGATGTGTGGAATCCAGAAAGTCTCCTCCTCACCGCTGATTTCAACCCATCTACTCAAAAACTTTTTCCATTCTCTGGGGAGTTCGTAAGCTTTTCTCATTTTTTTAGCAGATACGAAGGCAGCGAACATGTTATCATGATAATGATACAAAGCATGCAAAGCTGCCCAACCTATCGCATTAGTAGTACCTTCGGAATAATCTCCTTTGATTGCGATTCGAAAAGCGGCCGAAGCAGTTTCATAACCTTCATCTCCTTTATCAAATTCAAGAGCTCCAAAAGCCCATAGCAAAAACCTATTTCGTATGTGAGCACTCATAGCTTGAAGCAAGTAGATTCTAGCATCCATTTCGTTCCTTTCTTCTAAGCAACGCAAGGCCTTAGCAAGTAACGGTCTTGGATAATTACAGCCAACTTTCAGATTGTTTTCAATGTGCATCTCCGCAATTCTAGTATCTCCAGCTAAGCGGGATCTAGCGGCAGCAACTCGAGATGTCGCATGGGGTGCTGGCGGTTGCGGAGCAAAGGAAGCAGTCACTGCACGTCTACTGGCTGCGTGCTGGGCTGTCACCGTGTCCTGCCATTCTATGTATGTACAGTCACCAGGAGCAAATTGTTTTAGCATTGTTCTTACTCTCATCAGTAAACGATTAGCAGCCGTTCGCTTTATACCTTGATTCATTGGGACAGCTCCTCGGCAAGCAAGACCACTCAACTCTTTGTGTACAGCTAGCGCTCCCCCTTCCTTTCTTATACGTCTTACGTCAATCAAAGGATCCTCCTGTGGCATTTCGATTTCCAAACCATCAATCGGAAAAGATTGTCCATCTGGTGGTAAAAATCCCAAAATTTCGTACAACCAAGATATCTTAGATTTTGCAACTAGAGGTTCCGTTACATCAAATCTTATTGCGATGTAAGCATTATGGCCAAAATCATCTGTGATTAAATCAGTTTCACGTGCACTGACTTTGGCACTGGTAGGCGGCAGTTCTAACAATGCACCAACATTATCCGGAAGTTCTGCTTCATTATAAAATAGTAACTTGGTACAAGCAATAACACCGTATTGACCAGATTCTAACAGCACTCCAGCATCGACCATACCCATGTATCGGCCACGAACGTCGATCTTTCCCATCCTAGGAACTCCAGCTATTTCGATCAAAAATGGCGATGAAAGCCGTTCACGCAATTCCACAGGATCCACTAATACTCTTTTCATAGCGTTCCAGTATACAGAATTACAATCCTCCCTATCTCGCGGCTCAAAATCCTGCGGGATGAATCTGTCTTTGTAAGGAACATTATACATCGTATTAGCACCTTGACCGGCATTACTCGCCGACGCCCATACTACTTTCGAAGCAGTATTCGTACTCAAAGACATACCAAAATTAACTGCTATGCGATCAGTAATGTCATTTAAACCAATAGCAGCAAGATATACAGTACCTTCTCTGGCAAAGGGTAAACAGTGAGCAGATAACATAGTTAGTGTTAGAGGAACTTTAGTATTTTCACATACTCCATTTGCCTTAGCATACGCTTCCACAACACAGTTCGTGCGTTCACCTGTAGTCAACATAACTAACGAAACGCGGACATTTACTTCATCCTCTCCCAAAACTAAAGGCAACAAATCAACAGTGGCCCCTGCCCGATTATCCATATTAAGCAGAGGATCAGGGTCTTTGGCTCCTTTTCCTCCAATGGTACGAAGAATAAAAATTAATGGTTGTTCTGCTACGAGTTGTTGAAAATAAATATCTTTAAGATCTAATGGTAGAGCCTCAGTCTCAAGTATTAGTCCATTTTGCCATTTACCTTCCAAGACAATCTGACCATTGAAAAAAGTCAAAAATGGCCAATCGCCTGGACCAGGAGGGTCGCCTTCAAGCAGTAATGTTAGGCTCACGCTGCGAGGCGTAACAAACTCACCGTCGGAATCACCATAAGTGCTTGATTTCAATTCCAAGGTAGGGGATTTTAGGCCTTTAGGAGGCATTTTACCTACCGTCACACTTGAACCAAACCTAAAATTATTTTCTTCCTGGGCGAATGGAGGCAAGATTTTTTACGAGACTATTAAAATATCTTACCAATATCTTACGTGTTAGAACGTAAGATTTTTTAAAGTTTTAAGAACTTTTACCTAAAGCATGACAACAAACTTCAAATGTATCTGAAAAATCTGAAGTTCATGTTTATTTAATTTGCTTTTTATTTCAATGTCATGATGTATATTTTTTATGCCCTTGCTAAAAAACGTTAGTGAATAATGTTACGTCATAGTGACACTGTTGACATCAGTTGACTGACTTATTTGCCATGACAATTAAAACGTCTTTCGTTTATTTTACCGAACGTCAAAAAAATATAGTTGAAAAAGATTGTACTTTAAATAAATACCTACTACCTCGCCTAGTCTAGTAATATTTACTTTTCTCTATGAGTAATATTAATGGTAGTCGGCTTTCAACAATACTATCACAATCACTTTTAAATTTTATCACTTCTAATGAATTAATTCCGGTAACTAAAATTAACTGTTGGCATCTTGACGCTCCGTCTCGCTCGAGTAATGACATTAGCATGACATTTGAACGTTAAAATAGCAAACAAATGATTGCGTGTTTATTTTGTGAAGCTCGAGTTTACAATTTATTTATTTAGAAATTCCAAACAATAATGGTCTAAAATGTACACATTAATACATGGTTTCTACAAGTATATTATTCAAAAAGACGAATACTGTGTGTTAATATTAGGTTTGGACAATGCGGGAAAAACTGTAAGCAATTATGGAAATCATTGACTACCTACTTGAATATCAGTTTTCCATTGTTTAATAAATTAATTTACTTTTACAGACTTATTTGGAAGCAGCTAAAACTAAATTTACGAGGAAATATAAAGCAATGAATCCAAACAGGATAACCACGACAGTTGGACTTAACATAGGCAAAATAGATGTGGATGGAGTCATGCTGAACTTTTGGGACCTAGGCGGACAACAAGAACTTCAATCTCTCTGGGACAAAGTAATTAAGTTCAAATCTCACTGTCCACAATAAGTGTTGAACAGATTTGATGAATAATAACTTTAAAACTTTTGTAACTAAAACTTCAATGTTAGGACAAATGCTGACTCATCAATATCTAGACTCTAGACCAGGAGTCTCGAAAAAATTGTTATGCCATATTGGCCATAGTAATTTTTTTGCAATGTTGTAACGGCCTTAACAGTTTTCATTTTTCTGTCCATCTATACAAATATAGGCTTTTATTGCATTTCAATTACTGTCGCGGGCCGGATTGATGTCAGTGGTGGGCTGGATATGGAGACCCCTGCTCTAAACCAATAGCAGCCTTAATTCTATGCTTTAGTTTAAATTAAGTTAAAAAAAGTTACAGTTAAATCTGACTTTTGAACTGAGGTATGTTTATAAATAACAAGTTGCAGTTTGTATGTGTGCCAAGCACCAAGCAGTATAATTTACTGTAATAAAATTATTTCAGATATTGACAGTGAATGAGACACATTTATAACAAATTATTTTTACTGCAAAACTTATGAAATAACTATGTTATTTACCTGTTAAATTTTTGTTGATAAATACAGGGCATTTTTTTTACAAAAATTAAAACATACAACTGTATGGATGCATGGTTTTAGCTTGATCTTCTCACAAATCTGTTTTAGTTTTTATAACTAAGTGATAAGACTGCCTAAATTGTACTGTCCTGTCCCTGTGTATCATAACAGCTCTCCAGCATTGTAACTTTCTTGTTTTGCGTGTGGTGTACAATGTGTGTTATTATTATTAAGGGGCTAAATATTTGTTTCCAGTACTATGCAGAGTGTCATGCCGTCATTTACATTGTGGATTCGTCTGACAGAGAGAGAGTATCTGAATCGAAGGAAACCTTTGGTGAGTATAATGAAAAAGGATTGAGAAACACATGAACTTAATAGGTTTCTATTTCTTACACCGTTAATCTTTGTATTTCAGTATTCTCAAATGTATTCCTATCACCTATTTTATGTATATTTTTATTTTTACTGAAATTATTTTTGAAATGATACCTAAACAATGATTTTGGTATAATAACTAAACTTGATAGTCAAGATAAGTGCTTAAATGCTGTATCACATTGTTAAGTAGTAAAATTATGTATGTTTGACCAGTGTTACTGTAGATAATAATCTATACTAATATTATAAATGCAAAAGTAACTCTGTCTGTCTGTCTGTCTCGCATTCACCGATTTTGAACTGAACCGATTTTGATGAAGTTTGGCATAGAGATAGTTTGAGTCCCGGTAAAGGACATAGGATAGTTTTTATCCCAGTTTTTGAAACAGGGACGCGCGCGATAAAGTTTTTCTGTGACAGACAAAATTTTACGCAGGCGAAGCCGCGGGCGGAAAGCTAGTAACAAATAACTGCTAACTAGTTCCTCATAATGTACATATGTTTTAGACAGGATGATAGCATCGGAGCACCTCTCCGGAGTCCCACTACTGGTGTTAGCCAACAAGCAAGACATTCCAGACTGCATGGGCGTGCACACGGTCAAGCCCATCTTCAACCAGAACGCCCACCTCATCGGCGCCAGAGACATCATGTTGATGGCCACTTCTGCTTTAAATGGGTAATAAATAATTCTATTTTCTTCTTAGTAAATGAAGGGATAGCAAAACAATGGCGACACAATATTTTGGACACCTATTTGATACATAAAGGTTGGCCACCCCTGAAATATTCCTTAACTATAGTCTGGTCTCACTGCGAGCGCCCGTCGCACAGTCGCGACAGCAATATAATTACGCGCGAGCGATAAGGATGGGTAGCTTGGGGTCATTGGACAAAATTCTACGTGCTCACAGACCGGGCTTTAGTGAGGGTTATTGTATTTGTACTCGCCAGTTGGCGCCACTGTAGATTATGGTCCTGTCACTCGCCAGTGATGCCAACTGTTAAGTATAAAAACTAGCCCCTAGCCCTCATTAGCCTATGGACGTCCATCAGCCGTATCCACCGTGGCTCCGATCGCGGCACATCCACATTTGACGTGCGCCTAATTTTTGTTAATCTTTTCAACTTCCCTTTCTCAACAATCTAGTTTTAACCCATTCCACCCCCATCTTCTACTGAGTTCGAGAGCTCCACACGGGATCTATGCAAGGGCTGCGTGCCTTCAAACAAAACAAGTACGAACTAAACTCGTTTTGTGTCCAAAATATTACGAAAATGTCACCACATTCATTTTGATTTTTCTTCATTGATACCGAAAGTTCCGTCTGCGGTATTAAATATTTTAAAACATGCGATTTAGCATCGACACAGTCGTAAAATAGCTAAGCAATCACTGACGATGCGATGTTAAAAGGAACATGTCTATTAAATTAAATTTTATGTAATTTGTAACTCTGTAGCAAATATGATTTTAAAGATAAATGGCGGAGCATACTTATAAGGAAAATTCTACATTTAAACAGTATTGAACAAACCAACATCAATAGGTACTCCAAATAAATTATAGTAAGATGTAAATGATGTAATTCAGTTAGAACTCATGTAGGTTTTTATGTTAATCATGTCTACTTAATTATACCTGTGTATCTTTTATTTGTTTTATGTCTTAAGTGTTTATTCTTTTTTTTTCAGAGATGGTGTAGATGAAGGCATTCGATGGCTAGTGGACTGCATCAAAAGGAACAGCGTTGACCGACCACCGCGGAATCACGACGACAACTTATAGTACGACGGCGTCACCTGCATTTATCACACGTCCACGGCGCGAAATACATTGAATAATAATGAGTTTTCCTATTTAGATAATGCTGTGACTCGATCCATTGTTTTGTACATACTGTATTGACATTAAGAATAAAACATTAGTAAAACTGTGGTTATATTGCTATCCTTTTTCAGTGATAAATTGTACCTTTGATAAGAGATACGTAATTACTGGATAGACGTTCGAGGAGGTACCTGTACCTGATAAACACTTCTGATAACAGTCCGCCTTGCACCGCCGTGGAATACTGTGCCCTAGTTGTGAAATGTTAATATATTTTTAGTGTTGGTGTAAATGCAAATGTTATAGTTATGGCCTATCCTATGTATGAAGTGGATTGGAGTGTATTACCGCCAGAACAAAACAGAAGGTAGGTAAACAAACAATGAATTTGGGTTTAATTCTTTATTTAATCAATTTTATTCAAGTTATTGCTCTCTTATCTCGTGATCTTGTTAGTTGATTGATAGGTCAAGAAAAAACGCAAAGTGGAAAAATTATTGAGAAAGCGGATGTCGACTTTTCGGAAATCAAAAAAGTTTTCCACGTCGCGTTCGTTCAGAAATCATTTTTGGGGCTGTCATCCATTAACTTACTATGAAAATAATTAGAATAGGGGACAGGTACTAGATAACAAACAAAGAGATATTACAACTTTGTTATCGGCCATTCAAATAAATATTAATTATAATTTTGTATATTCTAAATTATACAAAATTATTAAACAGTCTCTGAGTTGACCAAAAAATGGTAAACGTCATGCCCGAGGAGTCGGCCATGTTGAATCTTGCAACGCACCACGGAAATGTCAGCTGGCGAATATCGTAATAATTCTTCGTGTAATTACGTGCTGTGATAAAATATTTTGTCGTCGATTTAGTGTATAATTTAACCGCTTAAATTATATAATACTCAGAACGCATATTCATGTTGAATTGGAAGTGAAAATATGACAGAAGTTAGCCAAAGGTGGCGTGCGATTTCTCTTGCATTTCTATGGTTTGTGACGAGATAAAATGCATAGGGACCTAACTAAAAACCTGTAAATTAGTCCTTAGTTCCTTTCTTTATGTTTTATAAGAGTGTTCAAGTGATAACTTCTGTAAACAAGTGTTTTTTCCCCGCTGATTTTTGTCCTTTGCACCTGCCCCAATCAAGAGCGATTACCTGTGCCACTAGTAATTCAAGACTCATCTAAATAACGTTAAAGGAAAACCCTAACGGACTCAAGATGAACGGCTCCGAATCCGGGTAAAAATTATGTTATTTACGTTTTTTAAAGGTTATAATAAAGTACTTTACTCTGCTTTCAATACATCAAAATTCTTTAGTTCAATCTCTTCTTCCTACGCTTTATCTTAAATTATACTTTCTTTTGGCTGTATTTGGCTCTTTACGTACTTGCTAAAATGTTATTATTTATTTTATTATAACAAGCAGCTACTCTAAAAGTAATAAAGTTTAAATTATTCAATTACATGTAAACTATGTACTTATTTTAATCCTTGAACTTGTCAAAATCTGCAATCTCCTGACAGAGATCTACAAGTCTGCTTTTATATATTTTTTGTTTGACAAATTATCATGTACAAAAATCTGGAATGTAAGTTTATCGATTTATCCAAAGTGACCTTGACAATACATAATTAAGTTACACAAATATTAATACCTTATTAATATATGTAGAGGATTTGACACATGAGCATGTATTTGCCTGTTTGCTTTTATTATTTTAAGCTACTAACAAGACTATAAAGGCACAGATACTTTTAAATTATAAGCTGTGAATGCAATCCAACGTAAACATTATTTTGAGCTTTTTTACAGCCTTACTAGAATCATAAGATTTTAAGAAAATAAAAGAGATAATTTCTGTACAATATAATTATATCAAGAGATGCAAAACAAATGACTTTTCATTCAAATATTTTAAAACCAATGTGATTGTTTCAAAATCTTTAATGGTATATCATGGTCACATTATAACTATTTCAGTCACCAGTAAAATTTGCCATCACTTAATAAAAATCAAATTAATAAAATCATTCTTCTATTTGAACAATTCTGCCTACAATCACCTATAATGGCAGTCAATAGTTCATTCTAATTGACTGTCGTGACATTGTTAGTCATTGTAATTCACAAATCCGAGTTTGGACAGTTGTCACACTCAACTAGCTGTGAGGCTAGCCTAGGGCTGTCTTTGAATTGAACCACATATTGGTAATTTTGTTGAACATCAACAGGTCAATAACAAATCTTTGTTTTATGAATAACTAGCTTTTGCCTGCGGCTTCACTCGCGTGAAATTTAGTTTTCACAGATCGTCATAAATTATAGCCTAATGTTAATCTGGGTTATAAACAATAATACTGTAAAGTTTCATCAAATCCGTTCAGTAATCATCATCCACACAAACTTTTGCATTTACAATATTAGTAGGATCAAGGATAATGAAGTCCAGTTAGTTTCTAAATTTATTTAGGTTCTGTTTCTTTATTCTCTGCAGTACTAATGCCTACATACAATACTACTAATTTTCATAGAATTTATTAATCAAAGACAATAAAAATCCTAATGTTAATGTTTTCTTGCAGGTTTAACCCGGCGTTTAATATTGCTACCATAAAGCAAGTGGTAAATGAGGCCATAGAAAGAGGTGAGTTCCGTTACAAATTATAGTGATAATTTTAACAGGTTAAATGTATTCAATTCAAATTAAATAAATATTATTTAAATTATACCCTATCTAATTAGCTCCAATTAGAAATTAACTTGCATAATTTCACATCTTTTTAGTAAGGTCCTAACACAATGCTTTTCCACACACTTTGTCTGTAACAAAAATTTTATAGAATTCCTTGCCAGCCTACTAACAATATATTAACTACTACTTTTTATACATTTTTATACTTTCGTTCGTTCGTTCGTTCGTTTCAGCCAAATGACGTCCACTGCTGGACAAAGGCCTCCTCCTTATATACTTTACATTAACCAATTATTTCAATGAAATTGTACTGTTGAAATAGTAAAATCAATAACTAAAATAACTCGTACTATTTCTAGAAAACCAATTTATTTCTGAGAACTATTTGCCTTATCATTCTTAATCAATTAGAGGTTAAGGAAAACCAAATTACTAGCTCCACAGAACACTTGCTCAGGGTTCATTGAGAATTAAAATTATAGTTTGAATGTAATCTAGTCATCTGAATATTATTTGTAGTAAAATAGCCCTTATTTCTACCAGATAAGATACTACATTGTGTCTGTGAAGGAATGCCATTTGAACTTGATTGATAAATCAAAAACAGGACGTGATTCCTTAATCGGGCGGGCCCTAGCTCACTTAGGGCTGTGTTAGTGGTCTTGTAATGAACGATAATATATTTGATTTATAATATGGTTCACTTGCTCCAAAATAACTTCTGCCCACGGTATCTCCCGTGCTAATTTCGATCACACAGCACTCACTTTAGAGCGTGTCAAGCGCCGAAGCATAGAAGCTGTGAGAAATTATGGATTCCCCGTAAAAATTATAACATTTTTCATCTTTTCCAGTTTTTTTGCACCAGACCCTGTGTTCTTGTCCCAAGTCCAATATATGAGCCTGATCATTCTGAAGAACCTAAATAATTATATGAGGCGTTGACACGCTACAAATCAACAGTTACTCATTTTCTTCTGAGCTGATTCTTATATCCTGAAACGTTACAAACCAATAGAGTTATTCATTTCCACGGTACAATTTCATACTTAGTCCATAAGAGCACCTAATCAAATGCACTGATCCCCGCTTTATGTGTGTGTGTCGTCCGTAATAGTCGCGCCGGTTTCAGTGCGGATGCCCACTCCCACTCGGCTGCGGGACCTCATCCGTCAGATCAGGGCCGCCAGGACCGCGGCCGAAGAGCGAAGCGTCGTCAACAAGGAGTGCGCGTATATCAGGTCCACCTTCAGGGAAGAGGACAGCGTTTGGAGGTGGGTACTTGTGAACAACTACGAAAATTCAGGGATTTGGTATTTTTTCCCAAGGGTGATCAGTTCACAGCGACCAGCGTCACCCTCGAATCTGTAAAGGTGACTGAGTTTCTTCCGCCACTTCTTCTCAGCTACAGCCCATGCATGTCCAGGAGTGGTGGTAGGGCAAGCTATATTTGGGTCGTGTATAAGTGTCTAAATACTGATTAAAGGCCGTGACCTGACCGTGTTTTCAGAATCCGAACTTTAGTTCGTTTGACGTTCTCTCCATGTTTTATACCTCGATGGTCCGTTTGAGGTCTTAACCTATCAAGGTAATGAGCCGTTGACGCAAAGACCCGTCGCAGTAATCCTTCGAGGTAGCCCGTCGATGTAATAAATCATCGAGGAAATGTCACTCGAACTAAAGTACCCACAAAACTCCTCTCAGAAATAGATTCGAGCCTGTAAGGCTGTGACTGACGTATAACCCTTAATTTAAAAAAACCCCTGAGAAAAAATATCAATAATAACCAGACAAGAATACGAACGAACGCCCACGTACCTACGCGTACACACCCACTCAATCTTATAAAAGATAATAATAGATAGGACTTGCTGGTGCTGGTGGAAATCGCTGATTTAGATGTAAATACTTGAACAGGCTTGCCGTAAGTGATATAATATATTAACTTACTGAAGTAGGTTTGTTGTATACCTTACTTATCATAAAAATTGATTCAGCTGTTTAAAGTTTAAACGAAAAAACGTTAACAGACATTCAGTTTTTTTGTAGATAAAAACTTTAAACTGCATCAGTTTATTTAAACACAAATAGTTTGTCGTACATGTAGGCACTCAAGTTACATTAGAAATCGTCGACTGAAGGCTAATATAACCGCATTAAGCCCGCAACAGTATTACATGCTAAAGGCCATCTGTTATTACTACGCCACATATCTATTAAACAAGTAAATTTCACGCCTTCACCGTATTTATAAAATTTTCGAAATGGCAAAAAACTTTCTCCTTTTCGAAACATTCGAAATTAGAATGTATATTGCGCATAAGCTATGGCATAGGCTTCAGCTTTCTTTGATTTTCAAGTAATGCTTCAACCACACCAACGCGTGCCGATCGCCATCGCTGGCGCGATCATAGGCTAATGACAGGTCGCGTGAACTGTCATGGGTCGCGCGACCTGTCGCGCAAAAGAAGAATGAGACATGTATAGTAGGGTGGTCCTTATTCCTATGAAAAAAATTTTTTTTCTTATATTTTGCGGGGCACCACGTAATTTGAATATATACCATATGAAAGTCTTTCATTATTATTTTTTTAATTTTTAAAAGACATTTAGGGGTCGCTACCAAGGTTTGAATTTTAAGTAAAAACACAAAATCTGTATTTGTTAGATTCATTTATTTTTAGCCAAAGCCAAATAAAAATGTTACAAAATTATTGTTGTTGCTATGAACTAAGATATTATGTACAATATACATTATTTGAATCAATTATTTTTAAGATATAAGAGTTTACTTGTTAGTATCTCGACGCGTCGGTACCATGGTCGGTACAGAAGAGGGGTTGAGGGGAGAAGGGGACAAGAAGCGACTGTCTATTTCATCTATGCGATGTTCATTTGCACCTAAAATGTGATATAAACACTTAAATAAAACATTTATGAAACCATGATTTAAGATCTTCAAAGCTTTTGTAAATATTTTGACAGCTGGTAGCGACCTCTAAATCTTAACCAAAAAAAAAACAAAAAAAGCTAATTTCATATTTAGAGGTATATAATCGAATGAGAAAGTGCCCCGGGGAGAATTCAAAAGTCGAAAAATAAGGACCACCCTAATGTATAGGCTCCTTAAGAGCATTTGACGATTTGCAAGAACTAATTTAATTAGTCTAAACAAATAAAGATAATTTTGATTTTTGATTTGATTTTTTTTTTGTCATTGGCCTATGATCGCGTCGGCAATGACGATCTGCTGGTTGAAGCTTTACAGTTACCTTATAGTTATCCTGTAACATAATTAAAACGGGTGCCTTCGTCATAGCATGATTATAAAATTTTGGGGACGCTGTGGTTCATAATCCATGAGCACTCTTGATTAAGTGCTACTTTTCCCGCTAGTTATCCTCATGAATAGCAACATAACAATGTTACTGTATAAATGGTCTGCTCATAAAGCTATTTTATGTCTATCTAAGAACACAAAGCAACTTTTCAGTCGGCTGGGGCCCTACCTTCCATTGTCTGCGCGGCGCGTAGGCGTGAAATACACCTACATTACCTTTGCTCTTTGTTTTACTACTAAAGCTGCTCTTTTCTCGGTCTCATTTTTAATATTAAACCTCTTTCAACGTACGAAAACGTTGAACTTTAAAAATAGTAATGTTTACTTTACTACTTACTCAAATCGATTTGTCTACTAATTAGTAGTAATTTATTCGAGTATTAAGTTAACACAGTTTAATATTCACGTGTCATTGAATCAACGTGGCCATTCATATTGATAATTCAAATGAGATGAAACAATCAAAACATTTGCTGTAGGTGCGTCACAAATAACAATAGGTTCTGCCTGTACATTTGTTTACTACGCGCAACTGTGTGATGGATGCATAAATGTGATATATTTTATCCGTTACTAATAATGCCAGAATTATCTTTATTTCTAAAAAAAGACCATGGTTATGGTATAGGTATGGCTTACTTGTATGATAGCATCCTATAAAATGCCCAGATAGGCTGTGTGCTATGCATAGAACAGCATTTTTTTTTTATGTTAACGCGCCTTTAAGGCCTGGTTTTTTGATTCATAGTTAAAATAACTATTTGTTAGATTTTGCGACTAATGGTTAAATATTAACAAAATGTTAACCAATAGTTTAAAAATGTACTAAAACTCAAATTAACCATTGTTCGAAAAACAGACAGATGTCAAATGACAAGTGGTTAAATATCAGAAAAAAATGTTTTTCGAACAATGGTTAGCTTGACTTTTAGTACATTTTTTAACTATTTGTTAACATTTTGTTAATATTTAACCATTAGTAACAAAATTTAACGATTTGTTATTTTAACTATGAATCAAAAAACTGAGCCTTAGTCTCAGATAGAAAGAAAACAAAAAACTAACCTTTTGTTCGTTCCAAAGAAGAAATAAAACAAAACACTAACCTTTCACTCATTCCATAGAAAAGAAAAAACAAAAGACTTAACGTTTCCTCCATTTCCCACTTCAAAAATGAAAAAAAAAAAACAAAACACTAACGTTATCTCCGTTCTCCAGATGCCGGAACATCGCAAAGCTCCTATACATCCACATGCTGGGCTACCCGGCCCACTTTGGGCAGCTGGAGTGTTTGAAACTGATCGCCAGTCCGCGGTTCACCGACAAGCGAGTGGGATACCTAGGCGCCATGCTGCTGTTGGATGAACGCCAGGATGTGCACCTGCTCATCACCAACAGTTTGAAGAAGTGAGTAGCCTTAAATGTTACATACATTTATTACATACAGGATAGCAGTCTGAAGCTCTTTGCTAGTCCGCAGTTCAGGAGCAAGACGCAAACTGTCTAGTAAAGGTCTTTACCAATAGTCAGTAGAAATGAGTAGTCTATCAAGGTAACCGGAGTGCTTGGATATCATTGCCCGTCCACTGAGTCCACGGTTCACGGGCAAGACACGAACTGATTAACTGATTTTATCGTTAGTTCGTTTCAGCAACATGACGTCCACAGGTGGACAAAGGCCTCCCCCAACTCTTTTAAATACATTGTGAATTTAGAAGATCCCTATGTAAAAGTACTAGCACTAAAAATGTAGTTTAGTGTGAATCGTGACAACTTTGTTACATTACGATTACATCAAGGTTGCGACGCAGCTGTCGTCATTGAGCAATTTCATCGTGAAAAAGTCTAAAATGCCTTAAATGATTCATAAAAATAATTGGCCTTTAAGTATTTTGCGGAAAAAAAAACTAATTACCTATCCACTTGAAAAATTAGTTTATCAAAGCTTGCTGTATTTTATTTCGTGAATTTTAGGGGCGTTGACTTTTAGATTAAAATGGGGTTTACTTTGATCGCAGATTTGGTAATGGATACTCAGAAAAAGGTCGTTCCTTTGAATTAATAAGTGGACGATCTTATTTGGGAGTCCCTTCGTGTTTTTTGTGAATAAATAATGAAATACGTTGTAAGACCAACGCCGCCAGGCGCTAACCAACTACATCAGTAAATTGATGGTGTCAAATTAAAAATCATGTTAGCCTCAGCCCACGTACTTGGTTCTGACTATTACAATAAAAAATCCAGATCGAGAAAATCCCCGGGTTCGTTCATCAACGCAAATCATACGAGGGCACGGTAATTATTACCGTGACGAGGGCCTAGGTTCAATTCGCAGATAGGACACAAATTGCACGATTTGATTTGCTGTTAATCCTTTTAAAAGATACATATTTGCTCGAAGACTATTTAATTTGCACACCGCTTGTGGTATTTCAATAAAGTCACCTAGTTTTACATGCACACTTTCAGCTGAAAGTTACATAACTCTGCGATAGTTCACTCGATGTCGTCGGACTGAATACCAACGAGGCACTAGTGACAGTATTTCGTTATAATAACAATTTCCAGAGATTACGTGCGAAATTGAATGTCTCTAACATTTTATTAGATTGCTGAAAAGCGGGGAATGTTTTTATTTTTAGCATTTTGTTGTTTTCGAGATGCCAATTCGTTATCAAGTTGCCAAGTTGATATTTGAAGGCTTTACCAAATTTTGTAGAACATAACCGTTTGATTTTTTATTAGTGTTGACGGTCTAGATATCGTAGATTTCGTTTACTAATGTAGTAGTGAAACATATTATTTATTAAATATGGTTTATATTTTATTACTGATTAATATTTTATCATAAACACTCGAGTTGACTCAAAATATTTGCAAAAGCACACTACATCGCAATTTGAGTTATTACATCAACTTGCCTGCAGAACTAGTTACTGCAAATGTTAACCAAACACGGGTATGTAACGTTTACATAAATTAAGCGATAAAAACATGGGCGTATGTACGGGCTGTTAATAGCGGCTATGCGTTAAGGTGCTCTTACATATAATTAAATTACATAATCCAGAGTAACTTTGTCAATTGCTTATGACGTCACGTAAACTAAGAAATACTTATACAATTAAGAAAAACTAATCCCACAAAATTAGAATCATCAAGCAGGTGTGGGTGATTTTTGATTCTTTACCAGAGATAATTATTAAATCTGAACTGAAGTGCTTAGCTCAACTTCTATTAGTTTACGAAGCGGATGAAATTCTGGAGTGAAATTCAATTAGCTAGCGCACACCTAGCATATAAGTATAGAAATACGCTCTTGCTACGGAGCTAAGTTAATTGTACGACCGTGTGTCCGCTTAATAACTATGATTATGTTACATTAACTTATCTATCTAGTAAAAAGTTTTATAGGTGGAGCGCTTAAATGAGTTAGTGTCTGAGGTCTGAGCGGCACGGGATGAGGGATGAGGGTCAAACGTCAGCGAAACTTCAGATTTCTTTCAGATTTGTATGTTCTGTCACGTCATAATTTATGTTAATACTACCCCTCCCATACCTCACGCACTAATGCTCAAATGTGTATGACGATTCTAATTGAAAATTCATTAGAAAAACGGCAATCTAACTCAAACTGCCAACGGCGCAGCTCATTTCAGAGCTGTTAAAATATTCCACTGCTGTCTAACAATGCACACAGCCAATCTCGGTCGGTGACCCGAGCTAGCAGTCTGGTGTAATTCCATCCCCTAATATCGATTGTCAAAAAACCGCGGGCACCTTGACTTACCTTCGGCCACTTGTTTGCGTAATTGCTTTAACCGTACCAATCTGTTATTAAGCTAATGTATTATGTTACTTTTGTCCATAAATAATGAACATTTATTTGTAAGAGTGCTTTCTTGAAGGTGAGTAGAGACTATAAAGAAAGAATAGAAAAATAGACTAGAGCTGTGTTTCTTGACCTGTGGCCCGCGGAGCCCTGAGAGTTAGTAAAGTAACGTTAAATACAGGTTTCGTTCGTGAAAGGGTCACGACACTGACAGTGACATCAGAACACCTCATAGAGCGTTTGTTACGAGTATAATGCTCTAGCTCAGGGGTGACCAATCGGTCGATCGCGACTATTAGTCCAGTCGATCGTGGCAAGGCAAAAAATACTACATGATTGTGTACTAAACTATGCTGTTTCATTTAAGATTTCAAGAAGTATGTAAGTGGTAGATGCCCAGGGTTTCGTTAATAAACAGTGGATCTTATGTCTACTCAAGTTGGCCACCCCTGCTCTAGCTAGTCTAGACTATAACCCACCTTCAGTGAAACATACTGGGTTCGTTTCTTCGTTTTACCCAAAAAACGTTCACACAAAGGATCCTAAGAATTTCCTCAATGACCCATCCTGCGCTGTCCTTTCGTAGGTTCAATTCCTAACTGTGTCCTGATTTTTCACGTCTTAAAATGTGTGTTTGTCCACAGTGACCTCAACAGCAACACTCAATTCGTAGTGGGTCTAGCGTTATGCACGCTAGGCGCCATTGCGTCTCCAGAAATGGCGCGAGACCTGGCATCCGAAGTAGAGAGACTGATCAAGTCTCCGAACGCTTACATCAAGAAGAAGGCAGCATTGTGCGCCTTCCGCATCATCAGGCGGGTGCCGGATCTAATGGAGATGTTCTTACCGGCTACGAGAAGTCTGCTGACGGAGAAGAACCATGGTAAGTCAGACGATATCCATGCGTTGCTCGTGATGCTACTGCTTAGTTCAACTGGTTGTATCACGGGAATTTTAGATTGTCGGTGCGGTGGTACAGTCAGCAACGAAAGGTGCCGAACAAAATAACTTTACAAAAGATTCTAGACACATGAAATGTACATTTAAGTTACTGAACATAGCTACAAACAAAATGTATAACAGTCTTCAGTTACATATGAACCTTTATAGTGTGCAGGTGTTTTGAAAATTTGGATCTGTTCATGGACTTTCGTTGCTGACCGTACCTATACCCATATTTTTCGTTTAGAGGTTTCGCGAATGAAAAATCCGCCAGATGGCAATACGTAGACGCGAGGTCCAAATGCTGCATGATTGGTTATTTTTGACATGACATTGACAGATATGTCAAAATCCACCAATCACGCAGCAGTCAGACCCCACATCCACGTCCCTCCCATTCGCGAAAACCCTCATTCTATCAGGTCGGATTGAGCAATAGGCCCACGGGCTACAAACTATTCTACTACTACTATCATTCATTTTTACAAAGGTCTGTGATTCTGGTATAAACCTGGTGGTTGTAGGATCAAAGCCCGTAGCAGGCAAATGTTAGTGCAAAACTGCGAACAAACACGAGCGTGTTCACTCGGAGTTATGAACGTTAATTTTCTTTATTGCTTGTCAGTATCCGTTTATTGTGTTTGTGGTTAAACTGTACTTACAGTCTAATTTTTTAGAAATCAGCAGAAATGTCATCAAATATGGCCAACTGACATAAAAATATTTTTAGTCTGTGAACTAGTGATGCGACAAAACCTCTCGTTAATCGCGAAGTGAAATGTTGTAGCACTTGCGTATCATCGCCGGGTGATCGTCAAAATACTAAAAATATGCAACAAAGTCGCAACATTGAATGTGAACTGATTATGAAATTTTCGAGAACAGGAAACAAACTGTTTGCACAGATGTAATCAAAAAACACACTGGACAGTAAAACAATCAATGATATCCGTAAAGTTATTAAACTTCTGTTGCTTGCTGCGTGATTGGTGGATTTTGACATATCTGTCAATGTCATGTCAAAAATAACCAATCATGCAGCATTTGGACCTCGCGTCTACGTATGGCAATACGTAGACGCGAGGTCCAAATGCTTGCGGATTTTTCAATCGCGAAAACCCTCATTGAAAGAAGTTTTTTATTTTCTTAAAAATAAACAATGGAACAATACGTAAGCATTAATTGCATAAAAAAGTAAAATAATTTCGTTTAAATAAAACCGACTAAAAATTAAACTGACTCCGAAAAAGTAAACACTAAAAGTAGAAAAATAAATTTACGTTATCTCCAAATTGTCGAAGTTATCGCTGGAAAACTAAACAAAGTATCGTATATTTTTTGTTTAAAATTAATCAGTAATCGGAATAAGTGAATACTTAAAATAATATCGATTAAATTTACAGATTATTGTCTATGACTCACAGGTTACGGCACTGATGTGTCAGAGACAAGTCATAGACAATATGGAGATAACACATGATTTTAAACGTCAAGTCAATTTGACAAGTCTCACAAATTCTCATCGTCCACGTATTTTGCTAAAATAATTTGTTTCAAAGATTGATTTCAAACTTGTATAAACGTGAAAATAAAGTTGGTTTCATGGGCTTGTTAAATAAGGTGTATGATATTATGAACACGTAAGTGATTATGGTGTAATTGTGTATGAAAGTGTTTGTTTACATCTCTGCTGGATTCTAAAAAATCAAGGTATAGTTTTTCAATACATTTATGTAAACTCAAAACTACAATACAAAACTTGCTATCTAATTTTCTGTATACCGACTTATGACTCAGTAGATCATTGTGGCAAGTAACTATTGTCAACATTGATACACAATACAAACGCTGGCTGGAGTCAGCCAGTCAATCAATCAATTAGTGCCATCCATCATTAGTGAACGCAAACAATAGAAAATCAATGACATCGGCGATCAGGTGTATCATTAACAATGGATGAGGGGATTCCCCGAGAAAAGAATGTCGTATTTTGAGAAATATGTTGTTGAGTTACTGAAAACAATCTTTTGAGTACATATTTATGTAATTCTGGAATATTATTGTCACCGCCAACAGCACTTGGTATGTACTTTAAGATAAAAATCTATTAAAACACACTAAACAAACCCAATATTCTCAAAGATAATATCACCATGCCATCAAAAATAGTAATATGCATATCAAGAGTATAAATTAATTTTATTCCGCTTAATTTGTTTGCAATATTGCTCAAATCTATTTGTCTGATTTTTAAGTCATGAGTAATAAATTAATGCTTCTGTCGGTGCAAACTTACGTAACTCTCACTATAATAGTTTCGCCTTCGTTTTCGTGGTCAAAGAAAATTTGTTGACGTCACCCTAGCTTGGTAATAATTATTTCAACAGCCTAAAGTTTTTTGCTGTGGCTGCCCTTGGTAGCCATTTTGAAATTCTACAGAAACTTCTAGCATATAGTTATGTTTCCATTCATAAAGTTTGATTCTAGATTGATAAGACATCTATTACTTTATAAAGTAAAACAGTCTCACAATAAGGTGCTAAATAATTAAATCAACGCAATACCTTAGCATAAGTAAGGCCCAGAACAGACGGTGAAACGAAACTGCAACTGCTAGGTACTTTTGAGTTGCATCTAAGTTTCTGCCATAGCGTCCGTTGAGAGACCACACATGACGCGACCAGTTTGAAACTTTCAGTTTCAGTTTCATTCATCAGAATCATCAGAAAGTTGCAGTTTCGTTGCAGTTGCGTTTCACCGTCTGTTCTGGGCCTAATTATTACGGGTTGAGCGATATTCTCTCCGTACTGAAAAACTGTGTTACTACAGGGCTTACGATATTTATTTGTATAATGACTACGGAGATGCCCGGGCCTTTACTGGCCCGTATCTCCTTACAGGTGCTAATATACCCCAATTTAGTTTAACGTCTGGTCTATAAATCAGCCCGTAAAAGCCTACATTTGCACGAAACAAACGCGTTGTTCGCTAAGTGGAAGTAACAGAGAGAACAGACAAGAGTATACAAAACAAAGTACGAACAAATCAAGCTAAACGTAGAAGCTTCTTATGTAGCTGTAATAAATGCTATCCTACTAATATTATAAATGCGAAAGTTTTGATGTATGGATGGATGTTTGTTACTCTTTACTCAACTACTGCACGGATTTTGATGAAACTACAGTATTATTCTATATAACCCAGAATAACATATAGACTATAATTTATGACGATATGTGACAAACTAAATGTCACGCGGGTGAAGCCGCGGGCAAAAGCTAGTTTTACAATATAACTGTTTAGTCTGTTGTGCTGTTGACTTTACACTAATATCATTACTGCGAACGTTTGTATCGATATTTGGATGCTCAAACTCACGCAAAAACTAATGTGGGACGTATTTTCATGAAACTATGGGCTTTTTACATAATATGCATGAATTTCGCAAAAGTGAAACGTTTGTAGTTGGAAATTCGACTGCCTTTCAAACTTTTTACTAAGCTTATAGCTGTAACCTTGTTTGCTGACACCTAGTTGTCACCTCTATCACTTCGGTGCCCCTGATTGGCTCTCCTTGACATTTCCCCTCAACTACTAAGCAAGTGGACAGTATTGATTCTGACAACGAAGTGGGTTACAAAATGCCACGTGACTTTTTCTAGATTCAGAGTGTTTAATGTAATTTTTAGATTCTATAAAGTAAAGTTAAGTAAGTTCATACACAAATAATTCACATAAAAATCTTTAAAACAAACTGAAGTTGTTAATTAGTTGCATTTATATTATTGCTAGCTTATTAATATGGTCTGATAACCTGTATTGTATAATTGTAGCATTGGGTTTTAGGCATAGCAACGGAACTTTAATTTGTTGAAAGTATCGTGGGAACCAAATAACCAAATATGTGATAGTTCCAACTACATTACTTAGCTGAAAACAATGCAGAAATGAAATTAATAAACGTTTATGACTCCTGCCAATCCTGCCATATCATACAAATATTTGCCCTGAATGGGAATCGAACTTCGCAACTCCAACTTACTGGCCTAGTCCAGTACATAGTCGAAGCCCCAGGCCCACGAAACACATGTAACTAACATTTTCGTATTTCCTCGCAGGTGTTCTTATCACTGGCGTTACGCTCATCACTGAGATGTGTGAAAACAGCCCAGACACACTCAACCACTTCAAAAAGGTAAGTTGTCAACCAAAACTGAACCATATCACCACTGTATAGAGCTCGTTTTGTGTGCTAGCGGTTAGGCTGCGCGCGCGCGTCTGCGAATCGTACAAATGTTTGCCAAAGATAAAAATGTTATCGTTTTGATGCGCGTCATTTTTCTAAAACACACGTCGTTGGTCATTTCAATGTTAGTTACAAGTTCATTGAGAACAAAATGAATATTATTCACTTTTGAAAATGTCATATTCGTTATTCATTCACATTTTAGTGGCGTGGTATGTTAAATTAAAGAAAACTTTAACATTAGCATACATGATTCATAAACGAGTTCGTTGACCTGATCAAGCAAGGCTTCACAAAATTGTAACTCATTATACTTTTAAATTACTGAATATGCAATTATAAATTAGAACAAAACGTTTAAGGCGCCAAGCAATCTGGTACGGACATGATTAATTTATGATATACTAATTTATTAGTTACACAAATATGATTATAATTTTTAATAATTTTTTGAGGCTCCAATCACCAACGCGTATCTGTTTTTTATCTGAAATTGCCTAAACCAGATCTAGTTACTAAATAACTGTTCTTATCAACAAGATATATCTTAAGACTTTGAAATAGGATTTACTTTTTTACTTTTGACGGTTTTTTGCCAAAGACATGGCAAAAAACTATCGATGATGCCATTCCAATGCCTTGCGACATGTCAAACCATACATGACTCATGTACACATGCATAACTTAACGAGGTGAGATCGAAATGAGTGCTGGTTTACATTATGTCGGCCGACAAATTTACTGCTGAACGATTTTACTGTCGTCTGTTCACACCGAAAATCGTACTGACCACTTTGGTGGTCTCAGAGCAAAAAGATGGGTGGAGAGATAGATGCAAGACAAAGAGAGATATCAATTAACCTGGTCAAAGTTCTATAAAATGTGTCGCTATACCTTAAATTGTATGTCTCACTCTAGTTACAACAAACAGTTGAGTTCAATAAAGAATTGCAAACGAAAAAACTTTTTTTAGCTCAATATTTTGCCATTTGCTATTTGGACTATTGATTCTCTAGCAAATGGTATCAACATCTTAAAAACGCCCCAAAATTAGTTATACGGTAGTTACATATTATAGCATCCGACATATTTATCGTCCTCCGGTAAAATTGTCGTCCCAACACAGTCTGAACCGGCCCTAAGATCTACCGATAACAGACCCGATTGGACAAATCGGTCGTTACTCTCGCCCTGTTAGACGACTGCCAATTAAGGCGGGTTTACGATCAAATCAGCGGGCAAGCTGGCCTTTACGTTACACTTTATCTGCTAGTTATCTAGAATATAAAATAGGTATAGACAAGTGAACATTATAAGCAGGATACAATATAAAAGTCTTAAGCTAAAAGTATTTTGTAGAGTTATCTCCAAGATAAGCTAGGTATACAGGTGGACATTATAAATAAGCAAGATGCAATATAAAAAACATCAACTTCACTGAAAAGTATATTTTTTTACAGTAAAAGGAATTTACTTTTCGTATGACGTTTACTGATTACAACAATACATGCCTCAAGAAACAATGTTATCAAGTAAACGTAGAACTATATTAATAAGTAAATACTTCTGTGTATTCAGAACAATCGTACTCGTAACAATCCAAAGTAAAAGTATTAATGACTATTAAATTTTACAGCTACTTCTTGTATAAATGTGCCACTAATAATTATAAATTCTTACTTGCATAATATTTTGCAATACCTGAATTTTACACATAAATAGAAATTATATAAAATATAACACACAATTATTATAACTGTATGTGTGACCGCTTAATTGACAAATAAGTATTAACGATTATAATGAAATCATCATTAGCTTTACCTTTCTGTAAATAAAGGTTTGATTTAACATGTAAAAATATAAATACAGCGATTTAAGTCACTAATCGTTTGTTTGTGTTGTCCCGTAGGAGAGCGGACAGCGCGAGGTAACCACAAACGCTGATCCATGCACTTTGATACGTTATCATCTGATGACATTGTACAAATACTACGACCGAACGTTTTTGATACTTTACGATAAAAAGTTAAGCTGGAATGATATGTTTTGTGTTAAAAGTTGCATTTCTTATCACTGAAATGATAAGAGTAGATTTTATTTATGATGGTTTAGCAAAACTATACACATGAGCGTATGATTTATTATTAGTTTTCTATTCGCAACGTAATCGTTTGATTCATAGACACATATCGAAAACAATAGCTGCGGATACAGCTCACACGATAAAATCACTCGTACAATGTCAACAGAATGACAGCGAGCATGAATGTAATGTATTGTGTTGGTTATTATGGTGTATGTATCGATTTCCAGGGGTTTCTATCGAAAGCCGTATAGACTACTACTTCTGTCTAATGGTGTATCAAAAAGTGACTCACAAAGTTCAAAATAAAAAATACACTCGCGAGCAATGAATTCGAATCGCTATAAAAGGAATTTATACAATGTTTACAAAAAGAAAAATGATGTACCTATCTGCTTCATAGCTTTTTCAACTTAATGGTAACATTTTAACCTTTTTGTTATCGAAGTATAAAACATAATAGCTCCCCGCCAAGCCTTGTTGAATGGAATAAAGCAAACCGCAACATCACGGACTCATTGAATGAGAACTTTTGTTTTTATTTATCTGGCAATCTAAAATGTTTTTATAAAGAAAATAGCGACCCGAAATTTATTGACGGTTAGTGTACATCGTATTTGACTAAATAAATCTACAGTGAGTTGTAGATGATAGTGCGTCACTTATTTGACATACCATTAAACCCTATAAGGCCTTCGATAACGCATTGGGCTGGGAAGATCGATAAAGTGTCATCTATGAGTAGACATAGTACATAATACTAGTGTGAATAATGCACTGTACATTACAACATAATACTCATAGGTAGATAGATAGAACTTTCCCAAAACATCTCGATTCTTCCACACTTACTAACTTCTGTTTGAAAAAAGTATCACGAGGTTGAGTTAGCACTTGAATTTTTAATATGTGACTAATAATCATGCAATGGGGTGTTACGTTTTAGTTTTATAAGCGATTCTTTTTTGTTTCTATTATTTCGACTGTTTATATCCCTTATGTTATCGCTGTTGTATCCCTGTATGGTAATGCCTTTTAATTTTGTATAAATTCATCAAAATTCGAAGTATTTAGACAGTATTTTGGGAACGCATTATGCCTGAAGTGTAATACGTAAAAGTATGGTACTATTATTTTATTTCGCTTTGCAAATTTATTTTTTCTGTGTGCGTGCATCCGGTGCAGATTTGTGTGAATTTGTACTTTGGTGTGGTGGTTATAACTGTTATTTTTGCTTGTAGATTGTCCCGAACTTGGTGAGGATATTGAAGAACCTGATTTTGGCGGGGTATTCGCCCGAGCATGACGTCAGCGGTGTGTCGGATCCCTTCCTACAGGTAGTTAGACCTAAAGGTGACTACACTCTTTGATCGATCGTGGTTGACGCTCGACCGAATATTATGTTAACGATCAACATCGGTTAACTTACTATTATATTCTGAATGCAGTCTCTATTCCATATCTTCGCGAAAAGAAATTTATTTTAAATAATAATCCGTATCTAATCAGCAACTCTATTTATAAAAAAGTTTCCTCATATCAAAACTCAAACATATTGCAGTCAGTATCCACAAATCTATCAAATATGTAGGCACCTTTAACCCCGACATTTATAGCAGCCTCGATATGATTTATGCTGATGACAAGACTGCTACGTCACGTCGTATTTATAAAATAATAAATGGATCGAGCTATTTTCACAGTTGGATGAGTAAATAATTCAGAATCGAAAAATGTATAGAAATAGATTCCATAGATCAATAACATTTCCCCCGTGCATGATATTGTAACGATTGCGTGCAATTCGAACATTAAAAATCCTTACTTAACTAAATTATTTTTGGAAAATTTCCATTCAATGATGGTTTGTTAAATTGTAATACTTATCAATTAGTTAGATCGAAGGCATAACGTGTCTTTCGAGGGGTTAATATGTTTTCTTTTTCCAACAGGTGAAAATCCTGCGCCTCCTCCGGATACTGGGCAAAAACGACGCCGAAGCGTCGGAGGCTATGAACGACATCCTCGCCCAAGTTGCCACCAATACGGAGACCACCAAAAACGTTGGCAACACCATCCTCTACGAGACAGTCCTGTCTATAATGGACATCAAATCCGAGAGCAGTCTTAGAGTGCTTGCTGTGAATATTTTGGGAAGATTCTTGTTGAATAATGACAAGAATATCAGATACGTCGCCCTGAATACTCTGCTGAGGACAGTGCATGTGGATACGTCAGCTGTGCAAAGGCATCGGACGACGATACTAGAGTGTTTGAAGGTAATTTTGACTATTTGGCCATGTAAGCTCCCTTGTCTAAATGGAAACCAACTCTGAAAACTGTTGATGACTACCGTGTTTTCGTTCACCAGTTGGCGCCAATAGCGGTCATCATCATCATTTCAGCTACAGAACGTTCACTGCTGAACATAAGCCTCCCCCAATGACTTCCATGATGACCGGCTGGCAGCGGCCTGCTTCTAGCGCCTACCTTTATGAGATCGTCGGTCCACCTTCTTGGACAACCACTAGCAAGTGACAACCTTCTTGGACAACCACTAGCAAGTGACAGGGCTTTATTTACCAGTTGGCGCCACTAGCGAATGACAAGATCTTACCATAGCGCAAATTAATATGAGTCGTCATTTCTAGACAGGTTCCATTGAGATTTTCATTATTGAAAAAATAAGCAAATCGTCCTACTACTTTCTTTTCTTCTCCAGGATCCCGACGTATCTATCCGAAGACGCGCGATGGAGCTATCCTTCGCGCTGATCAACGGTCAGAACATCCGCAGCATGATGAAGGAACTGCTTCTGTTCCTGGAGCGCTCGGAGCCCGAGTTCAAGGCGCACTGCTCCAGCGCCATGGTGCTGGCCGCCGAGCGCCACGCGCCCAGCAACAAGTGGCACCTGGACGCGCTGTGCAAGGTGTTCCTCAAGGTGCGTGGCTCACAGCACAGCAGGCGGCCGCAGCGTGAAGCAGGAGCCGCTTCTGTTCCTGGAGCGCTCGGAGCCCGAGTTCAAGGCGGCAGGCAGCCGCAGCGTGAAGCAGGGTACTCATCTACCTGTGTAGCATGTAATGTGTCAGATACTGTATCAAGTGAGTACATAGGCACGAGCCCGCTGCGAGCTGCTCGCGCGTGGTTCGCAGGGAGATCGAAGCGACCCGCCGAGTGGCGGTATCACTGCGAGCACAAAGGCGGCTCGCAGTAGGATTCAGGAGCTTGCAGCCAGATACCCGATGACCGTGGACGAGCCGTACTCACTTGAAGGTTGGTTACGTTACGTGCTACATGGCATGGCAGTACCCTGCCTGATGCAGGAGCTGCTTCTGTTCCTGGAGCGCATCATCGTCAGACTTTAGCACACTGATGGACACAGGCCTACCCCAATACCCGCCATTTTATCCTGTCTTTGTCTTGTCATATTCAGCTTCTGCATCATTCATCGTCATTCTACCTTGCTGGAAGGCGTTCTACATTACGCTTCCTGAGTCGCAGTCTCCACTCAAGAGTTTTAGGAGTAATCTCCAACAGTGTCGTTACTAAAGCTGTGACTCTGCACTGCCACTTTAAATCGTTCCATGACCATATCTTGACTCCGAACCAGTTGAGAAACATTGAACCACCACATAAATAAGGTCAAAACTTGATATCGCGACTGTGCGACGGGCGCCCGCAATGAGTGTGCGAGCGCGACAGCAACATAATTACGCGCGAGCGATAAGGATGGGTAGCTTGGGGTCATTGGACAAAATTCTACGTGCTCACGGACCGGGCTTTATCAGAAGATATCTTCTCTTTCCATTGCAAAGTTTCCAAAAATCCCAACAAACAATACAAGTTTAAATATCATTCGGCAGGCGGGAAACTACCTTCGCGACGACACGGTGTCCAGTACCATCCAGATCATTTCGTCGTCGCCAGCGGAGCGTCAGGCCTACGCCGCCATGCGTCTCTGGACTTCCCTCGAGCGCTCCGCTGTCTCAGGAGATGCCACTGAGAAGCAGCCTTTGGTGCAGGTCAGTGAGAATCATGATCTACCTATCTATACTAATATTATAAAGAGGAAAGATTTGTACCTATTTTTAGATGATCAAACGAACTTACCAAGTGAAGTTCGATCTGAATTATCCTGTTTTCGCCGAAGAGATTTATTGAATGATCAAACGAACTTACCAAGTGAAGTTCGATCTAAATTATCCTGTTTTCGCCGAAGAGATTTAAGGTCCCTCCCAACCCGAAGATTTCTATATCTTCTTCCCTGGAGGTAAACGTCAATGTCATCTCTTCTCTAAATATAATGAGACCGCTCGGACACCGAGCCCACAGCGTGGTAGGGGTGGGGTTGCCCGCTCTTTTGTTTTTTACTACTACTACGCTGAATATTGTGTGCGGATTGGCTTGTCGTACAGGGGTACTACACGGTAAAATAAATCTCTTCGGCGAAAACAAAATAATTCAGATCAAACTTCACTTGGTAAGTTCGTTTGATCATATAATTATAGTTATTTATTCGAATGATTATGAGTTTCGATCATTAGTATAGAAAAATATATGAAAACAAATATTAGTAAAAACTAAGTGTATGATTAGATATATTATGAATATCAATGATTATGTTTTTAAATATGTAGGTTTTAAATTTTTTATGAAGAATGATCATTATGGTATCAAATTGTATGAGAAATATTTTCGGACCTCCAATGATAGGAATTGAAAAGTTATGTAAGAAAATGCGCTACCAGACTCGTGTTCTAAATGGATCGAAGCGATAAATATGACAAAGACAACGGCACGGGCAGTAATCTCAGTACTACGGAATTTGTGGTCTAAATTCGGGCTTCCTAAACAAACGGTCAGTGACAATGGACCACCATTTTCTAGTTCAGAGTTTCAGACTTTCCTTGCTCATAATGGAATAGAACATATTTTCTCTGCTCCCTACCACCCGGCCTCAAACGGTGCCGCAGAAAACGCGGTAAAAATTTGTAAGCGTGTGATTAAAAAGGCCTTTTTGCAAAAACAAGATGTAGAAGTAGCATTAAATAGGTTTCTGTTAGCTTATAGGAATACAGAGCACTCTTCTACAGGGGATAGTCCAGCTCGTATTTTACAAGGACGCAGCCTACGGATGAGGTTAGACAACGTGAAACCGGATAGAGAAAGCCGCGTGGGGGCTAGGCAAGCGCGCAGCGAGCAGCGCGCGGGCGGCACACGCCGGCATTTCGCGCAAGGGGCGCAGGTGTGGTATCGTGACTACAGGGCCTCAGATAAATGGCTTGCGGGTACAGTTAGTAAACAATTGGGCAATACTGATTACTGTATTATGTCTAGTTTTGGAACCGAAATTCACAGACATGTTGATCAATTGAAACAAAGATTTACAAGTAACATAAGTAATAATATCGATGATAAAAAGGTAAAAAGTTAGAGCTTAACAAACAATCTCGTAAATCGATGGCTATTCCGATGACCAGTGGCGAGGAACCGGCACAGTGTGTCGACGGTATTAATAATAAGTCTATCACGGAGTCTGAAAGCCCAGTTAAATCCTCGGAGGCAGCGGCAGCGGTTGCGTCTGGTGATGTTGCTCGTGTGAGCAGTCCCTCGTGTCAACCAAGTGTGTCGGTGGAAAGGGTCATAGGTGATGAAAGTGAAGTGGATCATTATAGCTCGGACTGTAATAGACCTCGAAGAATTCGTAAGCCACCAGTCCGCTATGGTTTTCAAGAGATAGATTAAGTACTTACTTAAGTAACATAATTATTAGGAAGTTGTGAAACGTTTTATTCACATTATCAATTATCTAAGAACTTATGTACCTAGTTTTAAGTTATTTATATTGTATAAAATAAGGGTGGAGGTGTTGTGTATGTGTGTGCGGGCAGTCAGAATAAATCACGGTATCAAGCGCACGTCTTTTATTTAGCAAGAATATTAAACTACAAAGGGTTTAACTTAACTAGTATTACTGTAATCGTAAAAACTATGCGGGGACAAATGTGTCCCATATACGTGAATGGGCTAACACCTAATATGTCTGTGGATGCTACTGTCCACGAAAGTGTTAAATCCGTCTTTCTTTTCATTATTAGTGTGGCAAACAACAAATGTATAGCTAGATAGAACTGAGCTGAATGAACAATTTCTTTATTTAAACTAGCAATAAAACAACAGTGGTGGTTGTTCACCCTTTAAGCATTATTAGAGCGTCTCTTCAGGGGACACATGAGTCACTATTCTATTTGAGATTAGGTATCTCATTTTTAATACACGTTTTATGACGATAAAACACAAATTCATTCTCCGCTCCACCATACCAGCGCTTTTAGATTGGGTCCTTCAATTCAGGTAATTGCACAACAATAATCCTGTTTTCGCCTCCGAGATTTATTTTACCATGTAGTACCCCTGTACGACAAGCCAATCCGCACACAATATATAAATCTTTGGACAATAATTTCACACAGCGCCAGCTAGCCCCAAAGTAAGCAACTTAATGCTTGTGTTATGGGTGCTAGCGTAACGGATATACTACTTATATACTTTTTTTTTTTTTAAATACATACATATTATACATAGTCACACCCAGACCCGTCACAGAAATTAAAATTCATCATTTCAATTTCTGCCCGGCCGGGAAAGAATGGCTACTGGGTAACATCTCGCATTACCTCGGAGCAAAAAATGGCTACTGGTTAACATCGCGCGTTAACTTGGAGCTAAAAATGGGTCAAAGTTACGCGTCGTGTCACAACGCTTATAATAAAAATGTACGAGCACTTACACAAAATAGTTGTTACAACCAACCTTGTGTTGGGTCTAATTCTCGTCACTACACTGCACAACTTAAAATAATTACGTTTTTTGTCGGTAAAAACGTCCTGGTGACGTCACTTAAGCATTTTTCTTATACTGCGTGCGGTCGTTGCGCGTGCGCACAAAGGAATGAGACCGCTCGGACACCGAGCCCACAGCGTGGTAGGGGTGGGGTTGCCCGCTCTTTTGTTTTTTACTACTACTGCGCTGAATATTGTGTGCGGATTGGCTTGTCGTACAGGGGTACTACACGGTAAAATAAATCTCGGAGGCGAAAGCAGGATAATTGTATGTTTGTAATGAATAGGCTCAAAAACCACTGAACGGATTTTGATGAAACTTTACAGTATTATTGTTCATAATCCAGAATAACATATAGGCTATAATTTATGACGATCTGTGACAAACGAAATTTCACGCGTGCGAAGCCGCGGGCGGAAAGCTAGTGTTCTATATACACACAGTTCAATTTCCGTTTTTGTCTCGCTCTCATCAAATGGTGATTCTTTGCGATAGAACGAGACGACATGACCGGAAGTGGCTAGCTAAAACTGACCGATAGCACGTCGCTTCAGCCAAATGACGTCTACTTCTGGATAAAGGTTTCCTCGAAGGATTACCACAACCACCGGTTCTGCGCTGCCCGTATCCACGTCCTTCCTGGGTCCTTCAACAGATCGTCGGTTCACCTATTGGAAGGCCTATACAATACATTACGAATTATATGCTTAAATTATTAGCTTATTGAGAAATATTATCTATGATTTGCGGCCAATGTGCTGTGACTTATGGCGTCAAATTAAGAATGACAGAAATCCTTGTCGAAACGTTGAAATAAAGTGGCCTAATTTCTTGACAGGACTTTAAACTAAGGAGCAAGAATGAAATGAAACTAAAGACTGGAGAAGATTACCCTGCATGAGTGTTTGATAAGAGACTTATAACTTATTTTAAAATATTTTTTTAGGTCGCAGCGTGGACGATCGGAGAGTACGGAGATTTATTAGTATCAGAAGCGAGTAATGCAATTTCGATGGTAGATGAAGATGGTGTTGGTAAGTAGATAAATTGATTTGTTTTATTTCTTCTTTTTAGCATCCATTACATTCATTCACACTGCCTATCTCGGGTTAGACTGCGACCCGTGATAAAATCTTAATGATGATTTTAGATGACAAATGTATGGACTTATCGCGTAACATCGATAAATTAGCGCGAGTAAAGCACATCCTAGGCCTACTGCTGACATTCATCCCTCCATACAGTCACAAAAAAAAAGGTTTTTTAATCAGATGACGTTTCAGACGACTTCACGCGGCCGTCCGAGGAATACGTCATCGACGTGTACCAGAAGCTTCTCTGGTGCACGCAGCTGTCCATCACCACCAAGGAGTACCTGCTGCTGTCGCTCGCCAAGCTGTCCACCAGGTTCACCACGCAGCCCAGCCAAGAGTGAGTGACGTTGCAGACACTTGACGCGGCCGCAGAGGAGTGCGTCATGACGTGGACCAGAAGCTTCTCTGGTGCACGCAGCTGTCCATCACCACCAAGGAATACTTGCTGCTGTCGCTCGCCAAGCTGTCCACCAGGTTCACCACGCAGCCCAGCCAAGAGTGAGTGACGTTGCAGACACTTGACGCGGCCGCAGAGGAGTGCGTCATGACGTGGACCAGAAGCTTCTCTGGTGCACGCAGCTGTCCATCACCACCAAGGAGTACCTGCTGCTGTCGCTCGCCAAGCTGTCCACCAGGTTCACCACGCAGCCCAGCCAAGAGTGAGTGACGTTGCAGACACTTGACGCGGCCGCAGAGGAGTGCGTCATGACGTGGACCAGAAGCTTCTCTGGTGAACGCAGCTGTCCACCAGGTTCACCACGCAGCCCAGCCAAGAGTAAGTTACGTTGCAGACACTTGACGCGGCCGCAGAGGAGTGCGACGTGACGTGTACCAGAAGCTTCTCTGGTGCACGCAGCTGTCAATCACCACCAAGGAGTACCTACTGCTGTCGCTCGCCAAACCGTCCACCAGGTTCACCACGCAGCCCAGCCAAGAGTGAGTGACGTTGCAGACACTTGACGCGGCCGCAGAGGAGTGCGTCATCGACACTTGATGCGGCCGCAGAGTGCGTCATCGACGTGTACCAGAAGCTTCTCTTGTGCACCCAGTTGTCCATCACCACCAGAGGAATGCGTCATGACGTGGACTAGCAGCTGCTCCGGGAGACGATTCTCATGCTATGAAAAAAGAAAAAGTTCACATTCTTAAAAAAAATTAAATCCTATTTTATTTTGGTTAAAACACAGTTTGTGCGTTTTAACCGGATGACGTCCACTCCTGAACAAAGGCCTCTCTCACTGATTACCACAAAGACCGGTCCTGCGACGCCCGCATCCAGTCACCTCCTGTGATCTTTACCAGATCGTCGGTCGACCTAGTGGGGGGCCTGCCCACACTAAGTCTTCCGGCTCGTGATTACCACTCGAGAACTTTTCTGCCCCAGCGGCCATCAGCTCTGCTAGCTATGTGCCCCGCCCACTGACACTTGATTTTAGCGATTCTGCGGGCTATGTCAGTCACTTTGGTTCTCCTCATTTCTGATTCGATCAAGCAGGGATCCAACATAGCACGCACCATCACCCTTTGGGTGACCTTGAGCCTTCGAGGCCCACAGTAAGCGACCACGTCCGAGATCCATAAGTTATCCAGACAGTTTGTGCATTCACAGAATCGAAAATATCGATCGGACATCACTCAGACGCAACGAATTTTACGAACCAGTGGAAATAGAAGTGTGTGTAGTTTTAATGAAATCTTTGTATGGCATTTAATTTAAATCTTCCATTTAATTTTCAGCAAAATACGAGTGATCATTGACACATTCGGATCTCACATCCACATCGAGTTGCAGCAACGAGGAGTGGAGCTTTCGCAGTTATACAGGTAGGTGACCAATTATTTTTGATCAATTATGGTATAGAAATAGGTTGGTGGATCTTTTTGTCGCGAAAGTTTAACTTGAAGTGGGAAAATGGAGGCCTTACTTTATGTAGGTATGAGAAACCTGTCATTCCCTCTTATAAAGAAAAACTTTATCGTAGAGATGAGAAAATTGCTTATAAAGAGCATGTTAATTAATTTCTGGCTTACCCTCTTACTAACAAAAAGTTACACAGTTGTTGAACACTGTTTTAAAATGACATTTCCATACTCTAAACGTCACTTTAAACAAGTGTTCAACGAGCGTGTAAGTTTTATTAAAATACCTTATTTTACGGGTTAGTTGACATCATCAGTCAAATTACCCTACCCAATTAATTATTATAGAGATAGAAGCTACTGTTCTCTCTCTGTTTTTGTTGAGGACAAGCTCTTATCGAGATGTGCATAATAGGAATATTGAAAGAAAAACAATTAATCTGTATAGTCTGGTCCGTGAGCACGTAGAATTTTGTCCAATGACCCCAAGCTACTCATCCTTATCGCTCGCGCGTAATTTGTTGCTATCACGCTCGCACACTCACTGCGGGTGCCAGTCGAACAGTCGCGACAGCAATATAATTACGCGCGAGCGATAAGGATGGGTAGCTGCTAGGGATCATTGGATAAAATTCTACGTGCTCACGGATCGGGCTTTAGTAATGTTGTGTATCATTTAAATTTGAATGACTATGTTGTGTTGCAGACAATACGCGCACCTGCGGCCGGCTTTGCTCGAGCGTATGCCGGCGCTGGAGGCGCCGCCCGAGCGCCGCGACGCCGACGCCGAGCCCGAGCCCGCCGCCAGCCCCGACCACCACAAGCCCGAGCAGGTGACACGATTATTCTTCACTTTATTTTGAAACTTATGATTGAGGTACAAAGTTCTAAATTCATTGAGTATAATTGAGATACAGCCCTGACCACCTTAAGCCCGAGCAAGTAACATCATTATGAAGGCTTCGACAGATTAACTTAACATTCTTCAATTGATTTCTTGCTTTATTTATATTAAAGGTATATAGTATGCTCGGTGTTTCCCTGCGTGATCGAATCAGAAATGAGGAGATCCGCAGGAGAACCAGAGTGACTGACATAGCCCGCAGAATCGCTAAAATCAAGTGGCAGTGGGCGGGGCACATAGCTCGAAGAGCTGATGGCCGCTGGGGCAGAAAAGTTCTTGAGTGGCGACCACGAGCTGGAAGACGTAGCGTGGGCAGGCCTCCCACTAGGTGGACCGACGATCTGGTGAAGGTCGCGGGAAGTACCTGGATGCAAGCGGCGCAGGACCGGTCTTTGTGGAAATCCTTGGGGGAGGCCTTTGTCCAGCAGTGGACGTCTTTCGGCTGAAACGAACGATATAGTTACCATATTGTGACGAAATAATACGCTCAAAAGAATTTAACAGAATCAGCCACCTTTAAACGTGACAAAAACTGAATTATCCATTAATCCTTCGGGGATTTCGTCGCAAGTCCTTTCCTGTCGCAAGTTTTACAATACTTCTTGACATTGTTAAGCAGGATTATCTCAACAAAATCAAATTCAATGTTTCTAAAGCATATCATCGAAAATATGGTCTTCAAGAATTTTCAAGAGTAGCTACTGCAACTCGGGTTTACTTTTTACCCTGTTTACAGCAAATTAAACACAGCTCTGGCAATAAAATGCTAAAAGAAAGTCCTTTACATTATTTCGGTTCACCTTTTACTAAACATTTGACGTATTAATTTTATTTTCTTTTTCTTAATTAACTATAAATAACATGTACATTCCAGGACGCACTCCTGGACCTGATCATCGGCTCGGACCCGCTGACCAACGGCGACGTGGAGCCCGCACCCGTGCCCGCAAATAACAACACCTCCAGCAACGTCAGTATTGCCATTCTTAATACTAGTTATTAAGAACCTGATCTCTATCTATCTACAGGGTGGAAACGTTAAGTGATCTCACTCGATTATTTCTAAATTATATAAGATATTGAAAAACTGGTTGCTGATCCTGAAAGTGCTGCAAGAGCTCTTTCAAACGGTACCAATAATAGGTTACAGAATAAACTATATCTTTTTGAAAATTCAACGTTTCCAGCTTCCATACTAAATGTATGCCAGACACACAATATTAGAAGTGTATTTTTTTTTATTTAATAATAAACTCTTAAAAGAAACTCGTAAATTGTATTCTTATTTGAAATTATTCATGGAAAATATTGGTTTTAGGCTTTACTTGCTATAATATTGTCAAGAGATGAGTGTCATTAATGTGGTAGTACAAAATGTATGGAAGAAGGAAACATTGAATTTTTGGATAGATCCAGTTTATTCTGTAACCTATTATTGATACCATTGGATAGAGCTTGTGAAGCACTTTTAGAATCAGTTATAAGTTATACGAAATCATGTGTAGTTTTTAAAATCATGTGACTTTACCAAATGTATGGAAGCTGGAAACATTGAATTTTCGGATAGATCCAGTTTATTCTGTAACCTATTATTAATACCGTTTGATAGAGCTCATGAAGCACTTTCAGGATCAGTAACTAGTTAATTGATATCTTGTATAGTTTAGAAATAAACGAGTGAGATCACTTATCGTTTCCATCCTGTATAGCAGGCTATGGGTTCGCCTTCGAACATAGGCCTCCTCTTCAACCCTCCACCGACTTCTGTCCCTGGCCACACGCATCCAGTTCACAGACGACGAAAGACGAGGATCAGCGACGTGGTGGAAGAGATTGAGAGCCGTAAATGGAGATGGGCAGGGCACATTGCACGGATGAACCAGGATCGCTGGGCCATAAAGACCCTGGAGTGGAGACCCCGTAACAACAGCTTACCCGATAGCAATAGAAAATCCCATTCATTTCAACGTTTTTAAGTTATCCTTACACTTTAAATCTTCTACATTTTGAAAAGGGAACATTTTTATAAAAAGAAGAATATTTTGAAACAAAATACAGACAAATATAGTGTGACTGATCTCAAGTGAAGATATTTATCCTGACGGATATAAAAAAATAAAAGAAAACACTATTTTATCAATTCCTTATAAATGTTGGTTTACCAATAGTTTACTTTCTTGCTTTCCTCTGGACCAATGCATCTTCCATGACTTTTTGCTCTACTTCAAATCGTGAACACCATCACACCTCCACTTATGAGCCACGCTTCACGCACTTTCACGTGACAATTTCTTTGATTGATGGCAACGCACAATGTTGCGTTCAGCTTTTACGAGACGTAATTTTACCAGGCGAGTGTTATGTGAGTTTACATCATATCAGGCAGCGCAAACATGTCTATGTAACGGATGTAATTGTATGCAACATTAATTAAAATGTGACCATTACAGGACATCCTGGATCTGCTAAGTGGGTTGGACTTGTCTGCGCCGGCGCCTACTGTCAACAACAACCTGCCGCCTTCTAGCATGCTGCTGGACGGACTGTTCGCCAGTACCCCCGCCGTGGATGCCGCGCCGCAAGGTAACCTACTGTCTGTCTCTGCTATAGTTGTCTATTTATTCAAATTAAATAAAAAAGGCGTATAAATGCAAGGTGAGAACAGCGCGTAGCGAACACGATAAGATGTGAGCAGCGTACAGTGGGCGCACATTTCTGACCAAGGGAGCAGCCATTACGCATTTTCACACATCTTCGGTGGATATGTTACGGTTAATGTGATAAATTGAAAATTATTAATAATAACCGGTTATTATGAATAATTACCGACAGTCGCGGTAAAAGTGATAAATTAATCACATTTAACAGTGATTATTTAATAATTCAACCTTAGTACTAACAAATTTCATAAAATATAACAACATTTTGTGTACGTGCTCGTGTACAGCCAAACTTTAGAACGTTTTGATATCATATATTAATATAATTTGGCATAATGAGTTTGGAATGTTTCTTGCATAATATTACTTTTCCATAATGCCTATAACATAATGTTTTGATTTAAAGTGAAAAATAGGTTAAGGTGCGGCGGGGGGGGGCCCTTGGGCCACCCCTAAGCCGCCTATTTAGTTTTATACACACATAAATGACCTCATATTAATCACATTCACCAAATCATGCGGTAATTATTCATAATAACCGGCGATTATTCATAATTTTCAAATTTATCACTTTGACCGTAACAGATACACCCTGTCTGAAACACATCTCTTTTTGTCTCAGCTCTGCTTGTCTCGTTTCCACTTTGGGGAAGTGTAAGGCCTACACTAAAACGCGCGGGCGCATGCACGCACGCGGCGAGCGTCCGTGATCCGTGTACAGTCAGAATCAAATATTTGTGACACTCAAAAGTATCCAAAAGTGTGAAACATGTCTTTGTTACAATAGGAATAAGGTTGTATCGTCATTTTAAGTGTCACTTTTTTTACTTTTAGTCTAGAACCTAAGTTATCAAATGATATTTTACATTCCAGCTGCGCTGCCAACAGTAACCGCGCTCGACAAGGGCGGGCTTCGCGTGGAACTAGCGTGCGCACGCGGCTCCGAGGGCGTGACGCTGACCATGCGAGCCGCCTCCACGCGCACGCTCACCGACTTCCTGTTCCAGGCCGCCGTGCCCAGGGTTAGTATCATCTTTGGCTTTTGGGTTCCGTATCATTACCCGAAGCTACGCAGGGCTACTAAGCGAAGCTACTAAGGGCAATGCAGGATCGGTCGTTATAGAAATCTTGGTTAAATTATGTCCACTGCTGCGCAAAAAGGTATCCCACATTTGTCTACAAGTGGACATAATTTGGCTGAAATTAATCTGAAGCTATCTGTCAAAATCAAAAATCAAAATTATCTTTATTTGTTTAGACTAATTAAATAAGTACTTGCAAATCGTCAAATGCTCTTATGGAGCCTATACATGTCTCATTCTTTTTTTGCCCTACCAGCGCTTCGAGACCAACATTTGGCAAGTGCTGAGAAGAAGCGAAGCAACAAACTCAGTCACCACTGTCTGCCGGTTAATATAAATAAATAGAAAAAGCAGTAGTAGGTACATTGATTCAGGAGCAGTTCGCTGAATTTACCACGCATTCTTGTATGGTGTATCTTATAAGAATGGGTATACAAAATTGCGTGGTATATTAAACAAGGTAGTAACGTGCTAATATCTAAACTTACAGATTAAGATACTTAAATACTAGTAGACATGACTCGCATTAATAAATTTGAATAATTTGGATTGACCAGTCCCCGAAAGCAACGCCTGTTCCAGTGATATCATTCTGGTTTTTTGATTCCGTACCCGAAGGACCAGCACGGACCTTGATCACCATTTCAGCCACAAGATGTCACTAAGAATGGAAAGATGCTGGAAATCATTGGGGGAGGAGGCCTATTAGCAGAGTATCGAGCAGCAACCGCTGTTGACAAACAGTGGTTGGTAGCGGCCTGCATCCAGCGCCACCTTGCTACTTTTATGAGGTCATCCGTCCACCTTGTAGATGCTGCACGCTGCGCTGGCCTGCACTCTAGAACCTTGTTGTCCCATCGGCCGTTATTTCTGTTTAATATGTGCCCTGCTCATTACCACTTCAGCTTGTTGATCCGTCGGGCTATGTCAGTGACATGTCTGATTTAACTACTTAATGATTTACAAAATGTGTTTCTATTACCGCTATAACCAATTTCGTTATCATTTCAGGCATTCCGTTTGGATATGATGTCGCCATCGGGCACAGTTTTGTCGCCGCTCGGTGAAATCACGCAGGTCCTCAAAATAGCTAATCCAACAAGGGTAAGCAAATACGTTTTATTATATTAACATAGGTTTTAATTTCTTGTTTACTATTGATATTTTGCAATATTTTCTCAGCTTGTCGCTTGCAGACATTCTAAATTATACTATACCTACTTATATGTAACAGTGCATGTCAATAAATTCGCCATTAGGCACTTATGGCATTGTAAGGTCATAATAAAGTTGTCAACACTGAATCGTCCCAGCTATGATATTGATAGGAGGGCGTTACTATCAATACTGGATTTTTGCCACCTAACGTTTCAGAATCGTTTGATTCTGTCGAATAGTATTCAAAATAATAAACTTATTTCCTAAATCTTTCCAGGCACCCCTCAGACTGCGGATACGCGTGTCGTACAACGTCGACGGCAGCCCGGTGCTGGAGCAAGCGGAGGTCAGCAATTTCCCGGCGGAGCTGTTCAACTGACGCGCGGCCCGCCCGCCCGCCTACGGCCTGTAGGCGGCCCCCCGCGGCCCGGAGGAGGCCCCCCGCGGCCTTTTGGCGGCCCCCCGCGGCCTGGAGGAGGCCCCCCGCGGCGACGGACCGAGTGAACAGTGCAGTGTTGCCAGTGATGTGTCGCGCCCGTGAAAATATAGATGACCTACGCTGAACGTCCCACCAAACTCAATGACAGGGGGGCGCTACCATCGTTCAACTATATGGTTCCCAACATGGCAAAAATCGACACCAGCGATCCGGTATCGACGGTGGCGGCCCACTGTCAATGTCATGGATAGGACAGTTCAGTATTTTGGAACTATACGTCATAATCTACATTTATTTATTATCTGTATCATCACTACACAGATTATGTCACGCCACAGATTAATAAAGTTTTTAAATCTAGCAATACAAAACCAAGTTTGGTGTCAGGATTGTGACTCATTTTCAGGGCAACATGGTATGCAATACTAATGTCTAATATGAACGGAACATCGCGTCAATTCTAAAAGCTGTAGTTTTATTTGAGGAGTGTTTTCTTGTAACTCGCAATTCACAGTTTGTTTTAAGATGGCTTCTTTGAGAGGTTGAGCGCAACGAGAGATTCTTTTGCTATATGTGATATTGACTTAGCAATACAAAGATACAGCAGGTTTAAAATAGTGATCCAATATTTTTCAGAATGATCTACTTGATGTTTGGCTAATTTTCTCTAAGACTGACAACTCGGTATAACTTTGGTCTAATATGTGATTTACAAACGCTCACGGCTGCCACAGCTTTTGGCTATAACGTCTACTTATTGAGATTTCTAAAACATTCCACTAATTTAATAAATTTTGTTTCGGCACATCTTTGATGGAGCGATAGTTGATAAATTACATATGAATTTTAAATATCACCTAATATTTACCGCATGTGTTTTATTTTTAACTCTAATTTCTTGAATCTTATTTCAGTATTTTTCTTAAATTTTTGTGATAGTCTTTTCCCAGTTTTAAAGCTGAATGTAAAATACCTGTCTTGGCAGCTTGTAAAATATGTCCAATCATTTTCTTTTATCAATTATTCTTGTAACCAGAGTGTACATAAAGTTTTATAGCCACTAGACATCTTTGTATTTACTCAAAATTATTTCTAAAGTTGTCGGACGTCGTAACATCGGAAAAAAACTAGCTAGGCCGTCGCATCGCGAGCCGATGCGATGTGTACATTAAAGAAATTGTGACTGTATTATAATGGTATATAGGAAGATGTAAAGAATATGGTATGTACTTAATATGAATACACTATTATTATTGTTTGTGTGATAAAGCACTAGATTAAATGAGTGTCGAAAGATACCTTGCTGTAAAAAATAGTCATTGAATTGGAATATTTCTCCTCACCTGCCTTGTTGAATTGACAAGCAATTAATAACGTCGACGTGCCTGTTTTTCAACTCAGTGCAGAGAATATTTTATTTATTTGAATCAATGTGTTGTTTAATGTAAACTAGTTTGTAGCAAAACGTTATTCCCATGCATTTGGTTAAGTATAGTTATTTGTGTATGAGATTTGTTAATTGCTTCAAATGCTAGTATTTGTAGTTTAGAACTATTCATTTATAAGTCATTGAAAATTTGATATATTGCAAAAAGTGTAAATAAATAAGGCATACATCTCTCATGAAATAGGTATACAATGTGGTTAACCCTAACCCTTCATCCCGATTTTAATGATTTGGGACATTTTAACACTTAGTGCTTAGTTCTTATTTTATTTTATCTTATTTATGTTGTAGGTTACTAACCCGCACTGTTTATGAAATATTAGAAACGTATAAATTAGACCCACTGAAGGAGTAGTTGACGCACGCCCCTAGTTTTATACAAACTTTACGACCACATTTGTGTAATCATGGATATATATTTTGTTTTCCATTATGTAAAGAGAGCTTGGCAAGATATATCGTAATTTGGTGCTTGTTTTATTATAAAATATCTGATTGAATAGAAGGCCCTCCACATGTTATGTGAGATGTTATGATTTTGTGTAACTAAAGCTATGTGAAAGATGTACATAATGATTATAATGATTTTATGTAAATTGGTTAATAAATATTTGAGAATGTTTATATAATCATCAATGTGTTTTGTTTTTGTATCAGCCTTACATATTTTTATCCCCATAATTTACTTCTGGCCTTTGTGGGCGTTCACTTGTGACCTTGTCTCAAAAATAAATGAAGTTAAAAATAAGAACTAACTCCTAGGATTATAGCTAATGGCGGTAGATTTATTTACACTCGACGATCATCTCTCATCTTGAACCATTCACAAAATACACTAACGCCCCCCTTGAAACGCCATTTGTTACGTCATAGTACCAGGAACACATAAATATTGAGGATATGGCGGTAGATTAATTTTATTTTCCATCTCACACACTGAAACATTCTCTCTTTTCTTCTGCCCCTTACCCTTGGACGAATCCCAAGCCCTTACCATTATGTTTGAAGAGATAACAGAGGAAGTAGTTTTGTCTCTTTCACACTAGTGGGGTTGTGCATGTATGCCGTCTCACGCGATGTTGTAATGACATCGCATTGTGAATCTACCGTCCATATCCTTGTTAATTATGCGCTCCTGGTACCTTGATAGCATTTCGAACATGTTTGAAGGGACAATATTGCGTTTTTCAAATGATAGTATTTTAGGCTGGGTTGCATAATCTCACTTCTTTAACAACGTTAAAAATCTGGTGAACTCCATAAAAAACACCGGTTTATCGTTATAGTTACGGTTAAAGTGGTACAACTCAGCCCAAGTTAAATAAAATTAAGTTTTATTACCCACAAGACTCGAATCTGAAACTATCCTCATCATGCGATTCATTACACCAACTCCGATACTTTTTATCAAGATTCTTTGAGCAAATCAACCCCCTAATAACTATTATCATTTATCACAATATTTAAAACAAATGTCAATCAAGCAAAAATCTTTTTTAAGCTACGACGTAGCTTTGCGACGAGCGACGAACGAACACGATTGCACTAGCCAGCCCACTGACTAGTCTGATAAGTTTCAAAAAGCATCCCGTTGGTGGATCCTACTTTTGTTGGTCAAGATAATCTCAATGAAAAGTTTGGTTTCCCTTCAATACGTATAAATCTAAATCTCAATGAAAAGTTCGAAGTTTCACCAAGGTACCAGGATAACATGAACATTAAGGATATGGGCGGTAGACACAAATTAATTCATTAAAAGATTACTGTTCGCCCCGCCCCTTTCACACACACCTTTACAATTTTAATTGCCATTTCTTTCTATCCGTATTTTGTCCTGTATCAGCATTCATTCATTGAATTAGAATGTTTTCGTACTACCCTCATATCCTTAGCACTTGTGTCCCTGGTACTTTTCTCGTAATTCATGAGTTTCGAGAACACAAATAACAATGTGAGAAACTTCTTGGCGGGAAATCGAGGCGTTATTTTAAGCAGTTTTGTTTCATTTTCTATAATGTGTTTAGCCGACTCTTAATCCATGATGTGTTCGTGAACGTGCATAGGCAAACGAAACAAAACAGTGCTACATGATGTTGATCTCAATAGAGTTATTGAGTTATTAGAGAGCATTCAAATTCAAGGGAATTGGATAGTGTGGGAGAAATTAAAGATTAGATTTACTGGACATGTTTACTTAAAAAGAGTAAATATACTGCTGAATATTCTTCACAAGTATTAATTGCATTACATTTAGTTTATGTATACAGTCAGCATCAAAAGAAGTGCCATATCACAATAAAAAAAATCACACACAGGAAAACTGTTACATTTGTTGTAGTCATTGGAAATATGTATCTCAATTGGGTAGGTATATTTTACAACTTTTGATGCTGATTCTGGAACTTTATGCTGAAATTCACTCAATCATAGGAGTGGCGGGCGAGGGCCGGCCACTTACACTGTTGAAAAGCCTGTCTTTTATCATCTGGGCCATCAGTCCGTGGATCACTTCTATGGTCGTCTTGCAAGCATCCTTTGTGGCCTTCCCGAGCTTATCTTCAGTGCGTTTCTCGTGAGGATCTGATCCAGCTACTATGAAGCCTCCACGACCTGCAAATGTTCACAATCAAATAAGGATCCAATAGCCATTAACGGCCATCACTTTAGCCTAGGCGCAGACCACCGACATTTAGTTGGCCGATAATTGGATTGGGGTGGTAATCTATATGAAAGTGCGCACATTACAATGATTTTGTATTGGCTGATTCTTCATAAAATTTATAATCGGGCCCAACTATTGGCTAACTAAAAGTCGGTGGTCTGCACCTAGGCTTAACTAATCATTGTCTATGACATATTATCTTACCTAATGAAACCTCACTCTGTTCCAATTTATCAGACAGGTCAAATATCTGTCCAGTCGTATAGTCAGCATTTGTGATCAGGCTGGAGCTGCTCAATGTGTTTACCCAGTATTTGTTCCACAGTGAATCTAGCAGTCTACGGTCCAATGAAGACTTGAAGTATGATACTTCTAATGAGTAATATTGCTTGCAATGCACGCCAAAGTCCTCGATTTTGTTCAGTGGGATTGTTTGGTACTCTGAGGGCTCTTCATTTGCTGGTTTATATCCCTAAAGAAAATAAAAAGTGATAGCATTTTAATGACCTCCAATATCTCACTATCACAACTTTGAAACCATTTAGTAGTTTACAAAACACAAAGTAAAAATCTACCAATGTTTGCTTAAAATTTCTCACCTTAGGATAAGTCCTGAAAGCGCCAAGGCATACTTTTCCAGCCGAGATAGTTCTGACGGGGTCAATAACGATTGCCACAAATGGTTCCTGGAAATTCTGATTCAGCATCTGTGTGGAGACGTCAATGCCTGAGAGCCAGCAACCGTAGCCAGGGTGACTGTGGTACCATCCAATAGCATTCTCATGTCTGCCTACCTGTATAACAATAGATTAGTATTTGTTTATCAGTAAATAGTAAGCTTTTAACTAAATAGCATTGTACCATAACACTATAGCACCAGTTCTTCCAATAAGAAAGTTTTTAAAATGGAGGGTATTTACTTGGTTACTGTTTTAAATAAGGGTGGTACTAATAAATCAATATTTATTATAAGATACAAGTAGATTCATTCATACTTATAAGTTGTTAGGATAAAGTTATCCAATTTACCTGCTTTGCAGCTTCAATATAAGCAGTCATGTACTCGTATGCCTGAGCCTGAGCATTCACTCTAGTTTCTGTCCCTTCAACGGGCAACGCAAATGAATCCATCACTATCATGGTATTGGCATCCACTTTCCCTAAAAGTGAAAAAATGCAGCATGATATTTGAATTTTCTTTGGCTTTGATCGTAAATATTGAATTCATATTGTAATTTAACTTACCAAGTAACAATCCCATAACTTCTAGAGTCCCACCAGACCGTGCATGCATCACCATCTTCAACAAAGCTAGAGCTGAGATTTTGATATCTTTGAAGAAGTGTGGACTGAAAACAAATATGTATTTTAGGTACACTGTATGGCTAATCAGTAATATGTAAACTACTGGGCTGAAACTCACTCTTTTTCCCATGGTTTTGCCGCTAGGATGTCTTGTTGTTGCTTTTTATCGTAACGATAAATTTCGTCAACACTGGAAACAGTCTCTATGTTATTGGACATGACCCAAGTCTTTTGGGCTATATTGGATTGAGAATCTGCGCTTGTAGACGCCATTTCGTTTTCAAAACAGTTTTTGAGAGCAAAGCGAATAAATAATCACAAAAGATTACAATTTTAATTTTGGTTATATTTTTGACAGTCACAGATGACCGACTGTATTTGTTTCACAGATTAGAGAGCATACTTTTCTCTATGTTAGAGAGTATGTCTGCGCTAGTAAATATTGCCTGCTGTAAAAATAAGAAAGATTGCTTTTTTTTTCTTTCGTTCCAACTGGTGAGGGGTCAAAGATCATACTGCCTAGTCATTAGGAAGAGAATCTGAAAATCAGAGAATTAAGTCCCTTCCCTGTATATTACATACAGGGTGTTTGGTAAAGGGATCCGTAAGACATGCGTTTAAGCTGGGTCTCCAAAGCCCCTTATTCCCTGCTTATTCAACAAAAATATGTCAGCATTCAATATTTTTTAAATGTTGAGATGTTTTTGGTGATTGTGTAGGGCAAAACACGCGCTGGAGACCCGGCTTTCTTAATGACTCATAAGTCCGCCAGTGCCGCCGATTGATACCCTAAGCTAAGCAATACACACCTCTCCTGTACTCCACTCCATTCTTCTTAGTTCTTTTGTTATTTAACGTCTTTTTCATTATTTTCTTTAGCCAGAAATTATATAAAAAGCTACTACTTTATGTAATAACTAGCTTTCCGCCCGCGGCTTCGCCCGCGTGGAATTTTGTCTGTAACAGAAAAACTATATCGCGCGCGTCCCTGTTTCAAAAACCGGGACAAAAACTATCCTATGTCCTTTCCTGGGACTCAAACTATCTGTATGCCAAATTTCATCGAAATCGATTCAGTGGTTTAGGCGTGAAAGCAAGACATACAGAGTTACTTTCGCATTTATAATATTATTATAGATTATACCTACCTACCTATAATATGTAATAAGTAAGTCACAAAATGACGCAAACAACGATCCGTCTACTCACACTGTAGGTCACGGTAAGCTTTGCGCTTATTGCATCAGATTCGAATGTACTAAGTAACTTTAAATAAAATCAGATTATGTAGCATCTTCAATATTCTAAGATTACCATTCATTTGTTATAATAAAAAAACAAAAACTGTGTTTTTGATAGTGACGCGACGCCGCGCCGGTGATGCAATATTATTTGTGTACCATACAATACATTACTGCCTACATTATGCAATTTCGCCGGCAGGAATGAAAGTTAACAACAATCGAGTACAACTTAGTACAAGCTCATAATATTGTAATAATTAACGTATAAAGTTAATAATGTGTATGATAAGCTATTTGTTGTTAGTTTAGAATTGTTATTTATTTTATTAGGAACCTATTTCAAGTTTGGGAAAGTTAGCAGCTGCGTTTTTAATTTGAATGAGGCGCCAATTCCCGCCACTCAATAGAGGGTGGTGACGTGATAGTGTGATCTCTTTCTAACTTCAACATAATATCATTCTAGCTCTTTCTCACATAAACGAAGGTGGTCACGCCCACTCATAAGTTGACCAATCACAAAACACCACATACGCTTTTGAAATCCCCCAGCGAAAATTTTATTTATTGACGTGAGCTCGATAATGTACGACGCAATCTTTCGTTACTCGCTCGCGGAGATATATCGCAGAAAAGTGGTCTAACAAATGGTGGAAAACTAATTAAAATAGCATGACATCAAGACATTAGAGCCTAATCAGTGGTGTGTGGAGTGTTTTTTGTTTTGAAGCTGTACTTGAAAAAGGAATCAAGATGAGTACACCGATCATCATCACTGTGCCCAACAACTACTTGACGGTGGATGATATGGACTCGAAGGTCGTAGTCGACGTTTCATCGCAGCCACCGTCAAGGAAGAGGCGCCTGGACCATTTAACATGGGAGGAAAAAATGCAAAGGAAGTGAGTACATTGCTTGCGTGTCCGCTTATCACAATAACGGTATCGCAGTTCAGCGAACGCTGGACGTTCTAGTAAATTCATTGCGCGACAAATTCCCCCGGATCTATCGACCCGAGACCAAGTTATGCTGGTGGTTCAGCCAGCTATTGCATGTCCAGTAAAACTTGAGCCGCACTTGTTTCTAGAAAATGAGTAATCACGAAACAATGTTTTTAGGAAGCTGAAGAATCGTGTGGCGGCGCAGACGTCGCGGGACAGGAAGAAAGCTAAAATGGACGAGATGGATCATCGGATAACGCTTTTGGCTGAGGCCAACGAGCGTTTGACGAATGAGGTGGCGAGTTTGAAGGCTTTGAACGAGCGTTTGTTGAGTGAAAACGCGTCGCTTCGCAGCGAAGCCGCGGCGCGGACCGTCGCGGGGGCCCCAGGACCAGCAGAGTCTACTCCTCAGCAGAAGGAGGGGCCCCCGACGGCGATCCGCGCGGCGCGTCTGCTGCTGGCGATGTGCCTCCTCTCGCAGACCTCCTCGCTCACCTCGACTCAGAAGAATACCTCGACACCCTCAATCAACTTGCAGAATCCCTCCTCAAAGAAATTGATGCAGGTTCTGCAGGAGCGGTTGAAGATGTAAGTTAAGATTTTATAACATTTTATGTTACGTACAATGTTGATTTGCTATGTGCGTGATAAACATGATCAAGGAAAAACCGAGCCCAACAAACAAGTTTGGGTTTAAGGAAAAACTTGATTTCCCCATACATTATTTGTTGAATCTTATCTAATTCCAGAGGTTTTGATGTAAAAGTACCTATTTATTTACCTGTTAAATTTTGAAGCAAGAATAGGATGATGCAATATTATGGGTCGAATTGCATCATACTCTACTGCACTACTAATTATACTGGGGCACACATGTTTGTTTTATCTAAGCAGGTCAAATTAAGTAATGTGTAGATAAAAATGCAAGCAAGTCTTTTCTGTTGTCTATAAAGGTCTCATTTTCAATACCAATAACAAAAATAACCAAAATTACTTGTAATGGGGAAACCCACATGATCTTATCTAACATACAATACCAGAGATAAACGCTTAATCATTCAGCAATAATAGCGATGTCAGCACCTACAATGGATAAAAAATATCAACGGTTCAATATTTGTCCATTCCAATTGTACAACAGTGAAAGGAAACTAACATCCCTTTTACTTGTTACAGGTCCCAAACCGGTTCCCTGGAGAGTGCCCTAAAGGAGCTCAAGTGGTGGGGCCCGCAGCAGAGCAACTGGAATCCGATGAAGGTGCAGTCGTAGACCTGAAACACGACGTCAACAGGATACTGGCACAGCACTCGTACGCGCACCGATACACGCCCGACGTAGTCATCACGCCCGCACCTAAAGAGGAGCCTGGCAGCGACAAGGGAGATATCTTCTACGCCAGCTGCGACGAAGCAAACGACTGCATTACCATAGAAGTGAAATGCGAAGACCAGGTCGTCGAGGAAGTCACACCGATCAGAGTTGACACAGATTTCACAGACAACACTGTGTCACTCGAGTGTGACCTCAAGATGCTGTCACCCATGACACTCTCCCCTAAGTCAATCGAGGACAATCTTCTCTTATCGCCCACGCACACTAGCCTCAGCTCAGACCTCGGGTACGAATCCCTGGCCTCCCCCCTAAGTGAGCCCGAGTCCATGGACTTATCAGATTTTTGGTGCGAATCATTCTCAGAATTGTTCCCTGGCCTAGCGTGAGGGAACAATTCTGCATTTGTTCTCGCCAAAGACTGATTAGTTTCTAAGCTAGTGTAAGACATAGATCTATTAAATTGTTAGGTTTATTTATTATTATTAAATGACAAATTTAATTATTGTAATCAAATGTTTTTATTATTAGGCGTGTAGTTGTTGTACGTACGAAGTGCTGTAAATAAACACGTGTTCTGTGAACTTGTTGGCTTTTCTTTATATCCAATAATAATTTAATCGATGGGCCCAGAATCTCTATCAATAAGCATCAACAGCCTACTGCTTGCACAAGGCCTAGCAGACAATCAAAATTAAATATTAACAGTTTTAATTTTAAAATCGTTGTGGATAACGATTTCAATATAAAAATGAGGCGTTATCGACTGTCGGTCTGAGCTACTATTCAGAGTATGACCGGCGTTGTCCCACATCCATTAATTACAATGACGGTCATGATAATTTAGAACAAATCAATCACATTTTATATCTTGATAAGTGGTAATAACACTAACGACAATATAAACTTTCTTCAATCAAAAATTTAGGTATGGCAATAAAGTGTAATGAAAGTAAAAAAACTGAATTAGTTATTTGTTATATCATATTCTGTAGGTATTGGTAAGTATCGCGGTATGATGACTTACTGATTTGCATAATTTGTTCAGGTGCAACTTTCCGTAAAAATTAACTTACTTATCGTAGAAAAACAACGTGACCTTCGTTTCTATAGCTTGGCAACAACAGTTAAGTGTGTGTATATCGTAAACATTTCCACGAGCTGATAAATATTAATTGATATTGAAATTCTAGAAACTATGAAATACTTATTCATGATGGTGTTACTTAGCAAATAAAAAGACACGAGTAAAAAAACATTAAATATATTTGTTAAAATATTACAGATTCAATAAAATCTTGTCTTAGATTAATACATAATTACAGCTATCTCGGTTAATGTAACCCACACTCTGTCCGCGTTATCAAGCCATCGAAGCGCGGAGCAATGGCGGCCGGTCTCGGCGCGACAAATAATTTCCTTTAGATATTTGTAAACGAGCAATATTTAACAATATTTCCCGGCAATATTACGCTGGTTTGGCAATATTCGTAATTCTGAATATTGCTACGTTGATTCGGTATATCAAACTCGACCATGCTTGCTGGCAAAACAAATTGGGAAATAATAGCCAGTTTACACGCACCTTTAGGGCATTGTTATAGCTCATTATCATGAAACGACTTTGTATTTTCCAATTCAATGGAGCTGATAAGATGAGACAAGTGGAAATTTCAACGAGCCGATAATAAAACATAGGTTTTAAATGTGTTTTTTCAACGAAACGCCTACTCAATTCAACTCAATTTATTTTATCGGAGAGCAATTTCAATTTTAACTTGTTTTAGGTGTAAACTCATTTCATAGGGTTCACTTTTATCGATTTTGCTGTGACACCTATTAAGATGTGGGTTTATACAACGCCTCGATTGGCGGCCATTACTGGAGCCCGATAATAGTTTGGCACTTGCACCTAACGAACTAATCATAAGCGATAACATAATTGGGAGCGATAAAAATATATCGTAAACAACAACGTAGCGACTGTACAGCATAATATAACGCTAATGGAAGAATATAGAACTTAACAGTAATCAGCGAGTCTACAAAAAACATTATCAGTATTATCGACTATACTCGTCTCTCTTACACGTTCGAGAATAGTCATGAAAACTAGAGACAGATAGACTCGAAAATAGAGATAGTGTAGCGATGTAGACCTGCAGATATCAAAGCATACAACAAAAATGCGATCTATACTGTCATAACTGCACAGAGTAACCTCACGTAGAACTATCGTGTTAAAACTATAGATCAGATTTATAACAATATACTTAACATCTAAAATTGTCTGGGACATTTTTAAATACCTATCCACACATCACGAATTACAATTTTAAAGAGAAAATCTTCTCTAAATTTAGACGAGAACAAAATTTTAGTAAAACTTACAAATTAGTTTGTAATCACATGCATAGTTACTTTTTACAATAATACACGAATTTCTACTTCTTATCGGACACAAGGCCAATTTCGTTGAATTAAAGATACATTACAAATACATACCTACATTTTATAATATTTATGGCTTCTCTTAAAGGTTATAAGTTCTTTATTGAAATACTTATGATCAAAATATCATTCAGATTTGTACACGTCGAAAGTTATTCTCTACAATAAAAATTACAATAACTTCTCTGCAGTTAACTTATCTATATTTTGTTACTTATTGTTTAATATAAGTAGTCGTGATTTTTATGGAATCAAACGGAAATATTAAGGTATCATTTATCAGACATTTGATTTGATTACATCAAGGAAATAAATTAGATCAGTGTTCTGTCTATAAATAATAGTGATACAACAACGTAGATAAAAAAGTTGAATCATAACAGCATATTTTTATGTTTTTATCGTATCAACTAAAAATATACCTAACATGTAATATACTTATTTCTTGTTATATTAGGATATTTCTCAGTTAGTCAAGATGATGAAACAAGACGATACTTTAAAACTTTTCGCTTAGTCATCGGTCATCCCATGTTGTGTGCAAACATTGGTTTGATGACTCAGAGTACGGACAAAAATATTCTCATTGGTTTTGAACTTTAACACATCTCAGTAAAGTTCAAAATATAGCTGCAAAAAATCATCCACCACAAAGGGCAGCTCGTCACAAGTTTCTATTTTTCTGATGCAAGTTCCATCGCGATGTGAACATAAACTGTCGCAGTGTCACGTATGACGCATCTTTTGAGCAAGGAGTTACCTCCTTCGAATAACTAGAATTTTAAAACTAGAATAACAATATTTTTCATGACAAGATAACTATCACGTAGTCATTCTACAATAGTGCTTAGAAAACTGTTAAGTATATAATACATGAAGATTCTATAAATATAAATTTCTAGCTCTTAGAAATAAGATCGAGTCCAAATACTAGACTTTTTTATATTGCCTGTATGCCTATGCATGTAATACTTAAACTATGTTATTTTTTGTAGATTTTGTGAAATAAATATTACAAAATATTAATCAATTTAAAGTTTCGTATTTAGGCTTGTGCGTGTTCTTCGGAATACATTTGAGTAAAAGATAAAAATGGAAGTTACATATAGCCACATTCATCTTTAATTACTTAGTTAAGGGGTCATCCATAAAGTACGTCACACGTAAAGAGGGGGGGAGGGGGTTGACAAAGTGTGACATGGTGTGACAAGGGGTGGGAGGGGTCCTAAGTTTCGTGACATCACATTTCAATTGTTTCAAATATTTGATATAATGTTGATTTCATAAAAGAAGTACTTAATTTAAATGGAAATAAAACTAATTTCGGAACTGCTGTTAATTTAATAATTTTTCGATGTGAAATTGCAAAACATGTGACGTCACACTAGGGAGGGGGGGTCTCAGAAATGAGCCCACCTGTGACAAGGACGGAGGGGGGGTCAAAAAATTATGAAATTCGTGTGACGTACTTTATGGATGGCCCCTAAGACGTAGATTGATGATTTTTCACATCGCAGTAGTCATTTCCTCAGTGGCGTAGCGTGGCTTTTCGCCGCCCGGGGCCGTCCGGAAATCCGCCGCCCTTTATATTAATTATAAATATTTTAAAGTTTAAATATTATATTGATTGGACTTCAGGTACACTATTTACCTTATTTGTTGAAAGTCAAAATAAACTACCACACACTGCTTCAGAAGGAAAATACATTAAAGAGAAGCAATTGCTGGAAACCCACAGGAAGTTTGATTTTCTTAAATAGCTCAGCTTTATTATGTAACACTAGGTGTATAACAATAAACAATAATAACAAGCATTTAAGTATTTATTTGTCAATTGAGAGTAAATATTATCTTAAATTATATACAGTGTGAGTCACGTTAAAGTGTACATATGAAAATAGATGAAACTAGACCTATTTTTATCGACAAAAAGAAGGTCAAAAAATTTTGGAGATTTTTTTTAAATTTTTTAGAGAATTTTTTTTCTTCCAATTACTTATTGTAAAGAAAACGTATTAACTTTTAAACTAAGCGGTATATCCTGATAAAATAAAAACAATAATAATGCTAAATAACAGGCGATACTAAAAAAATACATAAAATACACAAAAAAGGCCAACAAATAATAAAAAACTATACTTTTTGAAAAAAAAAACTGCTTTTAAATTCGTGTTTTTTTGGTTATTTGATAAATTTCTCCAAAAAATGCCCCTATAACAGGTGGTTTTTATTACTTTGTATTATTCTCTATCGTATTATCTTTGTAAAACCAAAAATCGCATGTCTCTATCCCTATCACAACATTTGCTATGATCGTTTGAACAAAGGCCTGCCACAACATTATTCTCCGCTACAGGTAGAGACAATTTTAATTTTAACTAAAATGCTTATTTTACTTCGAAATCTTTTGTTTTTATTTGAAATCTAACTTGTCTTTATCAAAATTATAAATCTAGAGCCATTTTCAGTTTCGTTGTTAACGAAGCGTTGAATGGCGCGCCCGGAGAGGCTTAGTTAAAACGATCATTGCAAACGTTGTGATAGGGATAGAGACATGCGATTTTTGGTTTTACGAAGGTAATACGATAGAGAATAATACNCACCATATTTTTTCTTGATTACTTTTGTTATAGACCGAAATTAAAAAAGTGGTTTGAAAAATGTATAATATGTATCGAAGCTATTTTTTAAAATAATTTGTTTGAATTCATTAGATATTTGCAGCGAGTTACAGATTTAATTACTGCTAAAAGTTACCATTTTAGCTAATTTTGAATTTCGAACTTGCAGAATATAATAAATACACGGTTTTAAAAGTAGTTTAGATATGGCTTTAACTATTTACAAACCACTTTTTTATTTCGGTTTGTAACAAGAGAAATCACGAAAGATTATCTGTGGCGCAAGTTTTAGAGGGGTAAGTAAGCTCCTTAAATATTTTTGTTACTATTACTTTAAAAAATAGATTAAAAATGTACTCTTCGTGCTTTTTTCAAAGCAAAATCTTTTACACAATCGTCGATATCAAATTGTATCTCATTTTCAGTTGCCAGTATAGCTAGATTTGTTAGTCTCAACGTAGACATAGTCGACCTTTTTTTTTCTTGTTCATGCAATGTTTTTTTTCTCATCCGCCGCCCCCTTTCATATGCCGCCCGGGGCCATGGCCCCCCCTGCCCCCCCCAAGCTACGCCACTGCATTTCCTTTTATATCTTACTAAAAAGGTTGACTACAAAGTTAAGTCAATAAATACGTCGTTTATTTCTTGCCATAATGGGCTAGAATCATACTTATTTACTTGTAGTTCAATCAGATAGAAGGAACCGTAAAATACAATCTCACATCAATTTCAATGCATAGTCACTAACGCCATCTATCCGTACGCTGTTTTATTGTGATGTGATTAGTGTATACTATTTTCACTAGATGCCGCTTTATAAGACTTGTCTAGTCTTCGTAGTCGAATCAATTAAAAGGTAACTATGGCAACCAATAAGCAACATTGGGAATGTCAAATGCGTCTGTCAATGTCAGCCCTTGCGCCGTTTTGATGGCAATATTAAACTGTAAGTATTGTCGGTTTTATTGTGTTGTGTTACCTATGGCACTGATCAGCACTCCTAGACGAAGTAACATTCATGAAAAATTCAATTTAGTGACTGCTTCACAGAGCGAAGTAGTGTTACGTTTAGTACCTATAACGCTCTTAACCTGCATGTCACGTGATGGAAAATGATTATCAGTTTTCAGGCAAGCTTCACCTAGAATTCTCAACCGGAGAACTGGGTATCTTACCCTACCTCGGAAACACAATACGTATGTATTGTTTTTTTTCTGAAGAATTGATTCTGTCACGAATGTTACCAGTCTACGAGCGTAGGTTCTCGTATATCGTGATATATCTCACCAAACCTCTACCCAAACAGCTTGTCAAAGCACATATGGCAGTACGGCTTATCGTTCTGCTCCTTGAAGGTGCCTTTATTGAGTTGCCTCAAACAGAAGGCGCACACAAAGTGCTCGGGATGGAACTTTCGGAACATGGCCGTGATGCAGCGGCCGGCGATTGGTTTGTGGCAGCCGGCGCAAAGCGAGCCGCGCTTGCCGTGATAGTGCGTCTCGCAGTAGGGCTGGCCTTCGTGCTCGAAGAACGAACCGCCGTGGAAGGGCTCGCGGCACTCCTGGAAACGAAACAATAAGTTAATTAGTCGTAGTGAGACGTCAAGAACGTGGAAAGATGACATTATAAAGATAGTTAGAAGGCGCTGGATGCAGACTGATTCAAACCGGCCCATATGAAAATCATTCCAAGGGCCGATGTTGGTTGTTGAAATGATGAATTCATCATCATCAGGTCCTATAGTCTCCACTGCAGGAGGAGGATGATCCTCTCTAATTTACCAAAGGTAGGAGGATATTGCCTACACTACTCACGCTGAACAGACGGGTTAGGGAGACCTGACTGATGTTACCATATTTCTCCCTTAGTCGCCTCTTTACGATATCAAAGAGAAAATGGGGATGGGCCTTTGTCGGAACCACACATCACATCACATCTATCATTCATTTAAGTCACGCCTCTTTTGTATACTTGATACTTTAGTTAGAGGGAATTTACATCTAGCACCAGTACCAACCTAGGAATGATTTTCGTAAGATGAGTTTGAATGTGAAGTGTAAATGGTTTAATGTGTATTTGTAGAGTCATTGAATATGTTCTATCACTTTCGGATTTAAACAGACAAGGCAAATCTACTAGAAACTAGGTGTCAATAATTTTTACTCCGTAAGAAAGGAGTTACTTTATGCTACTAAGGACCGATTCGACCAAACTTTTATCAGAGAATATCTCCTGGTATAACTGACACATTGACAGTTTCAGTATGGGAAATATGTCAAAACTGATGATACCTTAAGAGTGGATTCGACCAAACAAGAGTAAATTTTAATCTCGGAATAAATCGTCAGCTTTGACATATTTCCCATACTGAAACTGTCAATGTGCCAGTTATACCAGGAGTTATTCTCGGATATAAGTTTGGTCGAATCGGGCCTAAGCTAGACTCTAGCTAAAAACAGCCCAATAACTTTGTTGACACTGTTTTGTCTTTCATCACACACAGTGATAGTGATAGTGACAATGTGACCAAGCGTTAATAACGTTTTTGTAAATATGGGATTATAAGCTTATATCCTGCCCAATTACAGACGAATATTTATGATAACATGATCTTACAGAATCTCTACTATTATTTTAGTTTTGTGTTAGTGTTTTGTGTTGAAAGCTGTTGTGTCACTTGGTAAATGAATAATTACATCATTCCGCCAGTTTTATAATTTTAGTGCGCATATTTCATACGCTTGGCTCCGAGCCACGGGTCTGTCGTTCTATCATACAACACATTTTCACTTAGGTCCGGGGTATAATTACATGAAATATTATGTTTATCCAGTTATTTTTTCTAAGGACGTCTTTGAGAAGTTGTATTTTTGATTCTAAGTCCGCCTGTATTATAATATTTGACATTGTGTATTTTTCTAGCACACACGCATTAATATGTAACCGCAGTTTTAAATGCATTGTTATAACAATTATAATTGTTTGTACTGCACTTGGATAAGAAAATGTGTTTATTGTAGTTACTGTATTTAATTTCACATTTCCGCTAAGTAAATATTTTAATCGGCGTGGATTTGAAAGTGATAAATTAGTTATTATTCTCATGTTTTTAATGCAACTGTTTTCGTAAATATTATTATGGAGGCTATTATTAATTTTGATGCAGTTTTGTTTTGCTGCACCATATAGAAATATCTGTAAACTGTGAAAGCGAGGCAATGTCAATCTATTAGTCGCTTGACGACGCTCTAATAATAGCGCGGAGTGCGTCAAAAATAGCGTTTGATCCGATGGCCCATAAACAAAGCGACCTGATTTACGACAGCCGGTGTGGCTGCAGACGCGAGTGACGTCACGCGCGGCCCTATTTTTAGCGAGCCCGCGACTCCATCGGGAACCCTATACGCCTAGCACTTGACCCCGTTTACTATTTAGCTGCGTTTTTGCCGCCCTCCGTCGCGGCACAACAATGAATTGATAAAAGGTCATTGCCATGCGCGTACGCACGCGACCTTGCGGCGGGCTCGCGCCCTGCGCCCGCGTCGCGACACGCAGTGTTTTGTTTATTTATTTTCATTTGTTTTGTATTTTTTGTTAATTAATATTTTTTTTGTTTTTTTTTTCTTTATTTTTGTTCTCTTTATTATAAATCTTAGCATTACAATAATATTACAAAAATATATTACATAGTTTATTTCCTATTTAAGTACCCTATACTTGGTGTAATGTGTGTTGGTGTACTCATTTAGCATTCGTGTTTGTGTGTTTACATTCATTCCCACGCCGGTGCCGGCGAGCATAGCTGTAAAAGAAATTGGGGGAGGGCATCCATTTTGGGGGTCGGCGCATCATCCTTTACTCATCCTCGTCGACTCCGACGCATTTGGGGCATACTGGTTTTCCTTCCATCGCATAGAAAGATTTGCCTTTGACTGCAGTTTGGCATTCCTGCACGATCGAAACAATCGATTAGTATCGAGGTGGCTAAAAGTCCAGAAACTTATGCTCGTTAGTGAACTTTTAGGTTTGTGTATACTTGACCTGGCATAGATGCATGAAGTGTAAACAAACCTGTTTCGATGTTTCTCTGGCAGCTGTGGAACTTCCTATTGAGAGTGATACTGACCTTACAGACGAAGCAATCGGGGTGCCACTGTGTGTTGAGCGCTGAGATATAGTTCTCCATGATGGGCTTGTTGCAGCCGCCACACTTGGGCGCGAACATGTCGAAGTAGTCGGCACGGCAGTAGGGCTTGCCGTCCCGCTCGTGGAAACCATCTTCCCCAAACTGCTGCCCACACTGGGCGCAGAAGAAGTGCTCCGTGTGCCAAGTCTTCTCCAGGGCTGTCACGCATTTCTGAAACACAAAACGCCTTTTAACCCCAAGGAGCTCCCTCATTGAAACTGGATGAAAACGAAATTGATTGAACTGACGTCGAGGATCGGCCCGTTGCAGTAGGCGCATCGCGGCGAGAACAGGTTGTGGTAATCCGGCTCGCAGTACGGCCGGCCATCACGCTCGAAGAAGTTCCTCGTGCCCAACTCCTGGTTGCAGTGGGCACAGGTGAAGTGCTCAGGGTGCCACGTGCGACCCAACGCGGTGATCACCTGTACGAAACGACAATCCTTAGTATCACTTCAGTCTCGTCACACTATATCACACTGCGTTGGGAGCAGACGTTGGTTCACTGTCACATCCAAGTTCTGCTTCCAAGACAGAACGGCGGCCACCTGTCCGACGATGGGCTTCTCGCAGGCGTTGCAGCATCCCTTCTGGGGCGTCTGGACTCCTTGGCGGCTCATGTCTGCGCGGAGGGATCCGAGCATATGCTCGAGAGAGGCGGATTCGGGCTGCTTGGGGCTGCTGCGGTAGTGTTCTTGCCACGCGCGCTTCTCGCGATACACGTGGGTTCCGCCCTCTCCTCCTGTTCCGCTGACCTGCAATATCAAACAAAATTATCCAACCGATGTCACTTTCTGTATGTGCGAATCCCCCGACTTGTATAAGTCGAGTCTTGGTTTCGGAGATCGCAACGTACAGAAGGTAACACCGTCCGGTCGTGGTGGACTGGAGCGAATGCGGTTCGAGTGAAATGTTTGACTATGTACTCTAATATTATAAGCTCGCGGCCCCACCACGCCTGTGATGTAACGCTCGGGACTATCTTTAGCTAGGCGCGAGGCGCGGGTGCGAGCGAGACGGCAGCCGCTGGAGAGCTGCCTGCTCGTGGGCTGGAAATAGACGTGGACCAAGAAAGGAGACTTGTAAATATTATAATAAACTGAAAAGCCGAGTTACTGTGGTGCAGTGTGCTATGAGCCCCTGCCGCCCGATACTGGACCTTAGGGGGCGTGACTCAGCGTCAGCCTGACTTCTGATTCCGCAGCTCGTAAAATTGAGTGAAAACATTCAACTTCAGGAATTATAAATACGTTGGTTTACTCTGAAAATACTGATTTTATGAATGAGAAAAGTTGTATAGGCCAGTGCGTGCAGGCACATTTAATGTCGGTTTTATGCGTTAAGATATTGGGTCAAGTGTCTTTTTGGCAGGTTTCTGGGAACATGAATTTAGCGGATAGTGTAGAGTCGGTTGAAGGATGACCTTGCACTCCTTACTATCCGTTACGTGCATGCGCTAATGTAAACAAGAGTGGCCGAAGCAGATACGCAGATAATCAATCTCGTTATAATTAAATTCAAGACCAAAGACGTGATCATCTCAAGACATCCGATTGATTGAACAAAAGAATGAGCCCAAAAATCGTAGTCTCAGTTATGGTGAGGCTGTAATAGTGGTCATAATTCATTCATCAAGTTTTAATGACCATCATCAGTCACCTTGTTAGATACGGCTGATTTGATGTATTACAGTTAGTTTGCTAATAAATCTATTTTAATATGAGCTGGAACGGTCAATAATCGCAGGTGAATGATAGGGCCTGCTGCGCTCACGTTTCAGGTGTTTTCTACGTCTGCTTTCATTTGACGCATTTCAATTTACTGGTTAGTCTTTATGTGAGACGCCATCAAATTTTTGGCGGTTTATTGGGTACGTTATAATGACACTAAACTTGATAAAATTTGACACTGAAAAGTAATAAAAGTAAAGTGAACATCCCTTCGTCTTTCAATTTTGTATTTCAATTCAAACGACCGTCATCTTTCCGAATTGTCTGGAATACCGTGAGAACTGTGCCATTCTAACACTTCTATATTCCGGGTGATCTTGATGCTCGGCTGTTAGGATACACACCTTGAAGTCCGGAAGCGAGATCATCAAATCGTCCAGCTCCTTTGTAACGCTAGATGCGTGGTGCCGCGCCACTGTGGTCGCCGGCTCCACCACCGTGATCGTCACCTGTTTGGTGCCCCTGTTGGGATACATACCTTGAAGTCCTAAAGCGAGGCCATCAGGTCGTCCAGCTCCTTCATTGCGCTGGACGCATGGTGGTGGTGGTGCCGCGCCGGCTCCATCACTGTCACCTGTTTTGTGCCCCTGTTGGGATACATACCTTGAAGTCCGACAGCGAGGCCATCAGGTCATCGAGCTCCTTCATTGCGCTGGACGCATGGTGGTGGTGGTGCCGCGCCGGCTCCATCACTGTCACCTGTTTTGTGTCCCTGTTGGGATACATACCTTGAAGTCCGACAGCGAGGCCATCAGGTCATCGAGCTCCTTCGTGGCGCTGGAGGCGTGGTGATGGTGCCGCGCCACAGTCGTCGCCGGGACCGGCGCCGGCGCCGGCGGGGGCTGCAGCGCCGGCTCTACCACCGTCTCTTGCACCGTGACGGTCACCTGCTTGGTGCCGGGCCGGGGTAGTGTGCCGGACGATGGCGGAACGGGTGATGTTGATGCACGGCTGTTAAAAGGAAAGTAAAAATAAGGTCAATCTGGGGGCACGGCAGTGCCCCCACCAAGTCGAGCAAAAAAGCGGCACGGCCGTACCATCCTTTTCTCGAAGCAATTCAGGCCATTTTCGACCGCCTGTAACTTCGTTGTGGATAAAACTAGAAGGCTGAATTTTCATTATCTATGCAGGCATTGTAAAGACACGGTATATTTAAAATTTCATTCAATTTGAACCAGTAGTTTAAGAATTATAACGGGTCAAAGTTACTTAATTTTGTCACTCACTGACTGACTCACTGACTCACCGATCATCAAAACTCTAAGGCACTTCTAGCAGACCTAGAAGCTTCAAATTTGGAATATAAGTAGTGTTTGGTGTATGAATCAAGGAAAAACTAAAATATTTGGGGGCACGGTAGTGCAACCGCCAAGTCGAGTAAAATTTTTCAATTTCGGTCCAGTTTTCTAGATACATAACTGCTGTCTACAAAATACAAAAAGAAATGAAGATCCCATCAAAAACAATACTTGTCAAAAAAACCAAGTCTCGCAACTCAGTTGTTCTACGGTAAAAAGTTGTGAGATCCATGTAATACCAAGTCCAGGCCAGGAAATCTTTAACGTTTTACATAAATATATTGACTTGGCCATCGCATGAAAACACGTGTAAATTAAATTATTTAGTGCGATGGCCAAGTCAATATATTTATGTAAAACGTTAAAGATTTCCTGGCCTGGACTTGGTATTACATGGATCTCACAACTTTTTACCGTAGAACAACTGAGTTGCGAGACTTGGTTTTTTTGACAAGTATTGTTTTTGATGGGATCTTTATTTGATAAAACAGGGTTACAAACATAGGCCCTACATGTGTTTATTTCTTATGCCTGTTTAGAGAAACGAATATGGAATATCTGGATTTTGATCAGTCGTTTTTTGAGTCGAATGATTGTATCCAGAAAAGTCTTATCATTATTTCTTGCATTTCCGCTGCCAAGATAAACAAAACAATAGACATAATTTATCTCAAAACCATAAACAAAGTCACCATCACTAATTAGTCTGTGTTCATAACGAATGCGGTCCAGTAAATAATGTGTAATATACACGTACGAAATCTGGGAGCAGGTGCGCCGCGCGACAGATCTGAGTTAGCGCACTAATTAAAGGGCGGAAGCTGCGCAGGAGTGCCAATAGCGCTTATACAATGCTACTAGCACCATTATTGCTGTATTTCAGCTGCATGATTTATCGAGTATAAAATCGATTGCCGAAACATGATCCATTGTTTGCGACTGCGCCGGAGTATTTCGATCCGTTGACGCAAACGGGTCGTGTCAACACGCCCTATGAATACGCGGAGATATTTATTATATAGAAACTTGAGGATAACTGCCGGTGTACAGAAATAATCTGGGCAGAGTAACGGAAACCATAAATCAATACGAGCGTTCGATGATGAAACGAGTCTATCAAAAATATTGACGCTTAAGTATAAGTTGTCTAACATTTGCTGGCACTCCTTAGTCACTTTTTATTATGCTTGAAAAGGATCTATGAACTGAGACACAGTACAGAGAAACGACAATATCCCAATGACGTCAGAGTCGGACTGACCGAGGAACGCAGGTTCGAACCCGCAGCCACTGGACTGTTGTGGTAATCATCATGACACAAGCATGTTTAGCTTCAATGACGTATCTAGGGTTAATTTTCAGGGGGACCCTGGACCCAAGAGCAATGCAGCGTGTGATTAGTGTCATAAGGTATGTAGATTTACTATTTCTATGATTTTCTTGGGTGGGCACTAGACCATTCTGGGCTGGGCACGGCCCACAGATCACAAAAACTAAAGGGAGATGTGAAAAGGGGGCGGGGCCAGCGTCGCAGCAATGTGCCCAAAAACAGAACACATTGCCCTCGACAGCATTCAGATTTCATTAGAGCATTATTTTAAGTTCCTTTGCATACTTATTATTATGCACGCACAAAAACAATGTTTGTTTAATACAGTCAGATGTTATTATGTTCTCTTAGTTAAAAATAAGCCTATATCACAGACTACAGTTTTTGTAAACACATTACAGTTACGACAAGATCGACTTAATGGAAACTATAATGAAAAGAAAGATTTATCCGTTTCGATTGTGCTCATTGTAGGCAGACGGTTTAGGGTGACCATGATTTTGGAAAAATTACGGAAATTTTTTAAATTTTTTAATCATTTTGCTTATCAAAATTGACGTAGTTTTGAATAATAAATCATAGTGCCGATTTATAGTAAAAGAGAGCTTCTAATGTTTTATATGATGTAAAGTTCGATCGAACATACATACATATTTGTATGAGAGCAAAATTAATGTAAGTAATAAAATTGCATTTAACTACCTAACTGAACAAACAATAAATAACATGTGCTTGCGCTGCGCAGTTGATCGTATAATAATTTTACGTGTAATAAAAATAAATTTTCAATGTTTTCCACAAGCTCATGGTCGCACTAAGTATAGGCGATTATTACAACAAAACCGGTGTATATCTGACGTAGCGTGCTATTTGTAGGCGGGCGCTACAAAAATACGCAATTTTCACACGGCCCCTGCCGATCGGCCCACGGCTGCTCGTCACGCCGAACTATCTATACGTTACGACCGTACCGCCCTAACGCCTGTATTCACAAACATCACTATGAGGTCTCACAGTGCGCGTAGACGCACAGGGTGACACACGAACCAATCACAACGCTGTGCGTTCAATTTGCTGCTTCACTTAAGCAAGCATCGTTTGTCTTCTTCTTATCGTATCGACAACAAACCTACACAGTGTCAGCCCAGAACTCCGCTGCAAGAGTAGCGATGTCAGCAGCATTCATTAAATCCTCCTGCGTGTAGTTGCTCGGGCACTCAGGGCACGACATCATTTGCTTCATCGACTGGCGAACAAAACCGCACGTGCACTCCATGTTTGAGCCATCCAAGAATCCCCACCGTCCAACCAAGCATCGTTTGAGAATACCTAAGATTTGTGAGCTTCATATAACAACAAAAGTCAGTAAGCCATTCCGTTATTTACAAATCAAGAAGATCAAGAGACACAAACACTGAAAGTGATATTGCTTGATCAGGCCTAACACAGAGAAATACTGATAGCAGTATTTAAACTACTACTAGTAGTAAACAGGAAAAAGTTCCACTCTTGATACAAAAAGCTATTTGCTAAACTGCGTAAAAGGCGATATGACTCGGCGAATCAAAACAAAAATAATTGTTTTTTACTGACAAAATAGGCATATTACGGCCTAGGATCAGGGTGGTGATGACGATGGAAGAAGATAGGCACATAATAATTAATATTGAGAGTACAGGCAAATCTTATCGACGACGAATGTGATTTGAGCTGTAAGTATCACCAAAAATTTGATTCACCATCTGTGCTTCTTGAGTTATTAATTTACACTCGCCAAGCTTGCGAGGAAGCAAACAATACTTCACCAAACGAAAAATGCGTCGAAGGGTTCATACTTCCAGAAAGTTTTCACTAGGTTTATGGCAAATAAATATTTTAAATCCAGTAAGAAGGGAAAAAGGTTCCTAATTAAAGATCTGCCTCCCAATCAACACAAAACATATTTTTCCATGGGAACAGCTAAAAATACTTTCTTGAAAAATAGAATAGAGGTCGTGACACTCATTTACGATCTTCAAGGTCGCGGGGAAGTTTCAGTCTTTTATGTAAGTTGTTTACCGTTTCTTGAAATATTTACTTCATAAGTTTTTTGCCAGAATTCATTTCAATAACAAGCGTGATTGCTATTATGAATAAACTTTCATCTGGATCAAAATCAAATTCGGATTTTGAAGTTTTTAGTAAACATGTTGAGTATGATGAGATGGGATGGGAATGGGAATCAGAATCTATTTCACGTTTTATTTTACTAACCACAATGTTTTGTAACTATAGACTTAATAACGACCCAGTATATGGCCCTATAATCTATATCCCAAGCTGTTAAAGTGTCTACGACCACTTCGACTTTTTACAGCCGGAAAGCTATTGTTACGGCCACAAATTGAGTTCGTGTGTAAACAGGCCATCAAAGCTTCACATCAAAGTCTTTGCGAAGTCTGCTACATTGTGCCAAGTTGACATTGACAACCACATTTTATTAAACATTATTCTATTCTAAACGCGGGAAATAAATAAGATGTAGCGCTTATCCACTGTCTTCTATTCGCTAACAATGAAAATGATAAAATTGTTAGAATTTCAAACAATGCTGAAATGTAAAAACAATTGAGAGCATACGCGGTGGATCAGCTGTCAGATCACGTGTGTGATACGTTCGAATGCGTGGGCAACAGGCCTAAGTTTAATGCCTCTTGTGCCAAAATAGACTAACTACTATACAACAGCAGTAAAAACAAAAAACAAAGGGCATTTTTGAAACTTTTGAGACGAATCTATGAGACAATCAACATAAAGGTTGAAGAAGTTGAAGTGATCTCCCAAAACATCTATGTAAATAATAGTGTTTTCACGAAAGAAGATAATGTGACGTAATTTCGCATTCAAGATTCGTTTGAGTATCTCGATCGTGAAGTGAACGATCATAAAAAACGATTTACATAGATAACCGATGCCTCATCAGATTCGGGACATAAGTTAGACAGAGGAGACATCAATAGCATGAAATTGACAACTTTTTTACTGTAAAACAACTTACCCATTAGGCACGTCTGTGCTGAGCTGGTCGAGGAGTGAGTCCACGGTCGGCCTTGAGGACGCAGGACTAGTCGCTCCATTGGTCCTTGCGTAGCCATCTGTTACTGAAACAACGAAACATGTTCAATATCAACCATTATATGTATAAGGTTGTCATCATTGAAGAGTCGAAAAAAAATAAGAAAGATAGGATAAAAAAATATCAGTTTTACGTCGTCCTATGAATCCTAAAACCTTCCTTTGTGAAGTACAAACCGGCTAATAAAGATGTGCCATGCCCATCAGTATATCTAATTGCCATTAACAAATACAATTGAATCGAAACAAAAAGGAAAGGTCGGGTAAGATCTCAAGACGATGAGGCCGTTGCTCGAGGTTACATCAGTAAAAGTCATGTTTACAAGAGTCTTTAAAGCTACGAATGAAGTATACGATGAAAATAAAAGCGTTTTCACTCATTAGGAACGAAGCCAAAAATAATTTTGCCTATATTTCTTTGACAAGGCCTCCCAACAGGTGGGTTAGAACAGAAGGGGTAGCATACTTTTAAAGGATATTTTCGGACATCATGGGAACAGAATTAACATTATTATGTATAATCATCAGAATTATTGTGGTTAATCGTGCAACTTGAAGGGCACAATTTATTTATTATCAAACTATATATTTACTACTAGAAACTACTGTTGTTTTGACATATTAAACATGAGAATATTTTTAGTGGACATAAAACCATCTTTATATCGTTGAAACATCAAAACTTACGATAAAGACCTCCAAAGCAACCTTAACTGTGTGCCAAAGAGCAATCAGTTAAATTGCTATATGGCTTACGAAAGTGGCTTGATTAAATCAAAATTACGGCTCTAACGTCCTATAATTTCGTCTCACGTACTATATCAACCTCGTCTGGGCTAGACGCGTCCGCGATGCCAAGAGCGAGCCATTGTGAAGTGACAATTCTCAATGATGTAAAGTTAAACACGTGTTGGGGCATCCGTCCACGGGATTTATAACGTCAGGGCATTAGACATTCGCAAATAGATCTAATTTGTTATTTGGAAATCTTAAACAGACAGTTGACGTATTAATTATTCTTGGTCATACCTTCAGTCTCTTGAAATCCTTCATATTAATTGGATTATAGTTGCTAAAGTCTACTCATTTTGGAATTACCAAAATGCAAAATGATTTAAGGATCTTTAGATAAATGTATCTTTAGCTCTATTCCGAGTTAATTTACGTAAATTATTGCCCTGTTAAATGCGAAGTAGTGACTCAAAGTCAAATATCTAAATTTTAGTGTCAGTTTCGCGCGTGCCAAATGGCGTTATGGACTAGATTTATTTACAATATTTACTTTCATTATTTTAAAATGCTTTTGCAGGACTTTTACAGTGTACTCTTCAAGAAAGCTTCTTTCAACTTCAAAAAGCTTTTTTATAATCTCTAATTCACATAAGAACAGAAGAGATGCGTAAACGCAGTAACTAAATCAAATAAACAGAAACCAGTGCAGATTTGATCTATTTCCGCGAGGTCAGTGGGGAAAAGGCGTCCTTGCCAAAAACAACATTCAACTATTAGTTTCCATGACACGGCATTTATCATAATATTTCAACGCACTTTTTCGCATTACAGATGTTGAGCGCGCTCTACACTCGCGCGCGATTCTTGCTGTGAATTCACGCCGCGATTCGCGCCGTGCACTTCGCGTTTATATGTGTCTCTCCACACTCGCGAAACCTCGCAGTCTCGTTCGCGGCCTCAATGGATGACGACGTGATTGTTGCTGCGTTGACGCTCTGTGCTATATCGTATTACAATTACCTATGTATTAAAAATAAGACACAAATAAAAAATGTTTAATGGGTTTATACATATATTTCACTTGAGCTTGCTCCACTATGAGTGGAATCCTTAACTTTCTTTCTATAGGTTCTATAACTGGACTGGAATATTCAAAATGTCACTTATCCGCGTCCAGGCATAGTGGGTCTTATTTTTATGGTCCTTGTGTTTGGACTGTCAAAGTATTGGTTCGGATTGAAAACACTCGATAAATTTCAACTTAAGTTCATTATTCCATGCCTAGTACCTACTCATTTAAAAAAAAAGAACGTTAGTAAGTACGCAATAATGCACAACCATTTGCGACGGCGTCTTCTCAGCTATTGCGAAAAACTGCGAGTGTAGTTGCGTTCGCGATCGCGCGCCGTGAACCAAGCGCGAACCTTTGTCGCGGGACAAAAAACCGACAACGAACGGGGAACGGCGCGAAGCGTGAACGTGAACGCGCGAAAGTCCGCGAAACCATCTACACACGCGTTTTGCGGCTTTCGCGGCCTTTCGCGCCGCGAGTGTAGAGCGCGCTTAAAAGCAACAGTTTTAAAATATACTCTAAATTACAAAAAAAAAACTGGGTGTGAAAGTAACAAATAGACATCGGAAATTGGTATACCTACTACACAGCATCCGTAATAGTAAAACTTTAAAACCTATTAGGTATTTAAAATCTACGTAACGACAGTTAAAATAATGCTTTTTGGTTGGAAATAACAATGAAAGAAAACGTCTCATGATTCAGTGTCATGAGAGAAAATATTTTTCTTGATTCAAATTACTCATGATCAAAGAAAATTAATAATTATATTAGACTCTTAACAATCTGTTAAAATAAATTAATCAAGACTTACCAGATCGTTCACTGTAAGCGCTCTTATCAGCGTAATTCCCATATCTTGCGTTGCCCAAATCGTCCAGCAGTATATCCAACTCCGTCAGGTTACCCCGGCCGGTGGTCCGGCCGTACCCGGCGGACTGTCCTGTGTTGTACGAGGGCGTGTGGCCACCATAGCTCGCTTGACTGCCGCCATACTTCACGGGCACTGTGCGTTCGTGTATTGAACTTGTGTTTTGATACGTAGGCTGTTGACAATGAAAAGGAAGGTATATTATATTGATGTTGTTTAAATCATTATTTTCATTAGTCTTATTGCAAAGTGAGGGTTTTTTAAAAAAATATTCGAGTTGGGAAAACGAAACACTTAATTTTGTCAAGCTGAAAAAAGTAGTTCTACAAATTCAGCCTTTCATCATGTTGAAAAGATTTTATTATCTTAGTAAGCTGACAGAACAAGTAAATAGAATTATGTGACCTATTTTTGGAATGAATACCATGCAATTTGTTGATTGAAGTAAATTACTATAAGTGTATGTAATTTAAAGTAGGAAAGAGGGTACGGGAAATAACAGGCTTGTTCTATTGGAGCATTTGTCGGACAGCTGGCGTTGTGTTCATAGTAATCAATAGTATATTAACCTTTTCTTTTATATTTTTGTACAATATTATACCACTGTTTATCAAGTAAAGCACAGGCACTTCTGATATTTAACATACAGTTAAAGTTTTTATACAGGTTCAAAAAATATTAAAGTGTCTGATATTTACAGTTAAAGTTTTTTTCAGGTTCAAAAAATATTAAAGTGTGCTTACTAGGAGCAGTTGAGCATTTCGTGGACAAATTAATTGGTCAACATTATTCAGCTTCTCCTAAAATTTACTCAATTATTTCATATACTGTCAAAATGTGTAATGGATATAGTTAGTTTTAGAGGAAAATGTAGATTTTGGCACGCGCCCCGAAGCGCAGGCCATAAGATCAACTACTGACGAGCGCCCTAAATCATCGTAACATCACTATAGCGTTTCGGACACGGGTAATTTATCATCGCCAGCCGCTCCTAGCGTGCCCCGATGTACGAGAAAACACCAACACCAAAACAAGTCACTCATAATAAACTAATCATAATCGTACATTTTATTACATTACTTTAAAGTATACACGACAGCACGTCCAGCTATACAGTGAAGCAACTAATGCCCGTTTTCACCATCAATCCCTAATTTTTAAGTGAACCTAAAAATCCTGTGGTGTTACCATAGGGATCACTAAAACTAGGGATTGATGGTGAAAATGGGCATAAGGCAATCATAATAAGTATCATTTTGTAACAAAAATGTTTTTAATTTGCAATGCTGTCGATTGAATAGCTAGCTAGATTGATTCATGGGCCTCCTTAGCCAGGGGAGAGTGGCAGTTTGGCCTAGGAGAGAGCAAATCCGATTTTCAGCCAGGGTCCCCCACGCTTACACCTAAGAACGTATTAATTATAACACTGGTTTGTAAGGACGTACCATTATTAGGGGGAGCTAGCTAAAATCCCTTATCCCACACCCTCGATAAGCCCATGGGTGGACAGATACATAGTAGAAAAATATTATCGCGGATTCCTTGAAAACACTTTACTATGTAATAGTGCAATTAGCAGTTGCCAGCGTTTTTTTGCTTTTGGCGTAGGTACACTAACAATCTTTTTCGGCTCATCCGCTTGTCAACATCTATTTATTAAGTAATTTTTATGACAGTCTTAACTCGACATGATGTCTTTTAAACCAGCACAAATTTAGCTTGAAATTGGGGGGCGACAACGCGCGTCTGACTTTTAGAATTCGATATGATTTGTATTTTATTTGGGACATTAACTTTGAAAAGTGCCCTCGTATATTAAGAGCTCCAGACTTAATGTTTTCATGAAATGACAAGGACAAAACAATGAAAACGTCTCCACATGTTTTATTTATATTTAGCACTACGTCTGTGTTCGTTGCGATTCCGGAACGTTATTTGCCCTTATGCCAAATCATTAAGTATGTTCCAGTACGTATATTTCTGAACGTGGACTTTGTTTTACTAATGTTTGTTTAATATATATATTTTTTACATCTATTTCGTCAGAATTAATATTGTCTAAACGACTTTTCGTTGAATTCAATTAAATATTTTAACTTAGGGTGGGTGTACCAGTAACAAACCGAATAAGCGACATTTTAAAAGTAATTTTGATATTGTGACTCAATTATTACAACAATCATTGCAAAAAAAAATTAACTACTCCTTGTCTATCATAGAATCAAGTAGCTTATTCCAATTTTCTTTATAGCTGTAAGGTTTATTTTTATTTAACAATCAATGTGGAAAGTCGCAATGTGCCTAAGGTTGACCAGTACCTCTAGTACGAAAAACTTTCGAGTTCGTTTCGTTGCGTATTCAAAGTGTCATCGAAAAATTTTGTATGAAAAATTAAACAGCGCCCCCTATATTATAGCCGCCCTAGGGGGCGCTGTTTAATTTTTCATACAAAATTTTTCGATGACACTTTGAATACGCAACGAAACGAACTCGAAAGTTTTTCCTACTAGAGGTACAGATCGTACCAAGTCGTGTTTGTCGCTTTTATTTATGACTAATGATTGGTAGAAGTACGGCAGTGCTACCAAACGTAACAAAAGTGGCGGGAAATTCGACAGATTGTTAATATTTTGATGTGAAATTAGAAATGGTGTACTACTGGTTCCTGGTGTGGGACTGGTGCTACTACAATCTAAACAGTCAGTTTTAATATTAAATTCAGGATGAAATGTATCTAAGTTGTCCTCAAAAATGTAAGAATCATGGTAAGCCTAGTCCTGGGGGTTAATAATAATATTGAAAATAATTTGTTTTAATATTAAAAATGGTAAAATTATATTTCAATTCTCTTGTTTTATTGTTATTCACAATACATATTTAGTTCACAGAAAGATGAGTAGAGCCATCTAGTGCGGATCAAGAACACTTTGGCTCATTTCCAAAGAGGAAAAGTGTTTTGCTATTGAGAAGTTCTTCATTCAAACTCGAGATGGCGCTACTATTTTTGTTTTCATTGAAGCTCTTCAGCTTTGGCGGCTTTGGCGCTACTATTTTTGATTTCATTGAAGCACTCCTGCATTTGAAATTATGTACAACTAAGTTTTTAATGATGTAGACGAAAAACTTTGGACATTCGGCCAAATGGCCATTTGTAGAGACACCACTGAATCTTAGCACTGTGCGGCATCAAGGAGTTGTGACAAGAGTGTATTATTTTGTGCTGTGGACAGTGCATTACAATTATATAAAAATGGATTAAAATTACAACACAAAACAATAACAAACCAATAACATAAATATTTTTATCGTCTTATTCAGTCATAATATAATTTAAGTCAGACCGTTTACTTAATGCGTCAGAATACTGTTTATTTATAACTAAAATATGTATTTAATGATAACGACAATTTTTAATAATATTGATAAATGTTATCAGTTTCAAGGCCCAGCCTATCTTCGTAGAGTCGCTATAGCGGTTTGTACTCTCCAAAGCACACATTCTTAAAAACATGCAATTAATTTTTATCGTTAGACACAAAAAATAGGGGTGTTATAAGTTTCACTTTTTTTTTACTTGTCTATATGTTTGTGTCTGTCTATCTCTAACATCATAGCTTCTGAACGACTGAAGCGATTTTTTTATTTCATATATTTTATCATATTCATTATTCATATGATATCATAGTCATAATATTATCGACTAACCTAGCTAAAGTTATGGTATTTTAAACAATCAGCTTCATTCAAGCCTGTTAGCCTGAAATGTGCTGACCAAATGGGAAACAAGTGATACACAAACTAATTTTACACTTAACACTGTGCGTATCTATTGTGTTGTTTAGAGATTTTGTTTACATCATCATAACCAGCGTTAGTTAACGTGACAAGAAGCAAATCGATGGCTCCTACGTATACTGGCGTAAGTGAAAAAAGTAAATTTTACAGGAGAGCCATTTTAGTGGCCAGAACCATATTTTTGGGTCATATCTTCTGACCTACTAAAACGAATTTAATGAAATTTCACATTTAGCCTTAACATGTAATGCTTTTGCTACTGCTGTTATCAATTTTTATATTTTTCTTATATATTTTGAGATTTTACGCATTGCCCTTTTACGTCGGCATATTTCTATAATTTCATGTATATTGTTCAACGTAAAGAGACTTAAATGACAACGTAAATATAATATTTTAAGCGATTACTCTCTTTATTTATGCATGTAATTATTTTAATTGTTATCATGTGCTATATCAATAATAAATCAGTTAGAAAAAGTCGTTTAATGTACCGTTTTACGTTTTAACGCAAATACGCCCATATACTGTGCTCGAGATTTAGTTAGGTCTTTTAACATAATGTGTCATATTTTTAAAAAATATAAATAACTTGAAAAAATCGAATTGCCTAAGGCGGGAATTGAACCCACGATGCCTTAGGCAGTTCGATTTTTTCAAGTTATTTATAATTTTCAAATTAGTTTGAGATGCGACTCTTAACGCTAAAAATTAAATAACTATATAATGTGTCATAATTTATAAATAAAACAATTTGCTAAATAATTTCATGGCTTTATTTAAGATTTGGATTATAAAAAATATACGTTTATGTAAGCAACTACTCGTATAGATTGACGAATCGTATGATTGGGCTTTATACGTGGCGTAGTTTTGCACATACGCCTATTTGCCTAAAATTTTATTTTGTATCTAATGGAAAAAAAATTTTTTTTTCTTACTGATTTTATAGATTAGAGCAAAGTGAAATCATTGCTTAAATAATTGGAAAAAGGCGTAAGCGGCAGTTTCGCCCTTATACGTAGGAGCCATCGAAATAGTAACAGTTTACATTACGTGAATAATTTTACATGAAATGCCTATTACTTGGGACGATTTGTAAAACATGTAACACTGCTTTTTTTCTGATTTGTAGAATAATTGGTATAATTATTCAGTAATATAATTTATACACGTCTTAAGACAATTTTTACTGTGTTTTACAGTCATAGTATTTTCCAAGTAATTTTTCCTATGTAACGTAAACGTAACGTATGATCAAATCATCCCTAGTGTAAACACAAGAAACCTCACCTTACGTATATCGACGTAAACTAATTACATACGTAAATTATTACGTTATTTGTATTGACTTCATTGGGTATGAAAACTTACGAATGACGAACAAAATGACAAACTGACTTCTGTGACCACAACCACAAGGTCAAGTAAACATCGCTCACGCTTAAGGATAATAAGGGAACAAACCATCGTACATATCTATTCCAAGTGAGGTAATAGTAGACTCTGTCGTAACTTTCTGCTACACAACCAGCAAGCAACACAAAATAGCCATTTTTAACGGACTTCGACAAAAGGAGGAGGTTCTCAATTCGGTTGGTATTTTTTTTTCTATGTATGTACAACGATTACCTACGCCGAGATTTCTGATCCGATTTACGTGATTCTTGTTTTGATCGATGCGGAATAGTTGCCATTTGGTCCCATAAAAAATATTTAATTTGGTTGAGCAGTACAGTCCTCTCAACTTAAGCTGAGAATTGCATTTGTGTGAGTGCACACCGATAGTTTGGGGTGGCAATCGGCTTGAAGCGCGGCGCGTCCCGCGCATGGTTTATTATAGCAAGCGGCCTGAAGCGCGGCGCGTCCGCCACGCACCGCTTCCTTGTCGCTCACATACTTCACTTCACCCCCGGTACTGGTAGCAGATACGTGTAATTTTATGTAATTGTGTTCCAAATATTAGTGAAATGGCTCCTACTGTAAGTGAATTTCCTGTACGAAATCCATTAAGCAGTCAAGTGAAAGAAATTTTATGCAAATTGAATACGTATTTTAAAGGTGTGAACGAAAAGTTTTTAGTCTGTTTTTATTTTGTAATTTTATAAAGTTTGTCTTTTTGTTGTATTTTGTAAGGCTGGCTGGACGCCCTCTCTATAAACGGTGCTCGCAGAATATCAGCGTCGAGGTAATTCGTGCCTTGGCATATGCTGAGCGAGGACCTGTTTTTATTTATTTATTTATTTAAAAGGATGTGTCAAGTGTCGTTACATCGGCCCAATTGGTAGCAAGTGTTTTATAGACTTCCTTTTAATAAAACATTAAAATTTTATTTACTTGTATGTGTTTTACTAACGGTACTTTTGGCGATCACTCACACAAATGCAATTCTCAGCTTAAGTTGATAGGACTGTATTGTATGAGCATTTTTAGTTTTTAGCATGCTCATGTGAACACTTTGACTGTGATAATTGCGTCGTCTAGGTATATTTAAGTAATCGATGTTCACCGAATACTTAAAGATTATTTTGCCAAGTGCCAAGCTCAAGAAACGTACTAAATTTACCGGCACCGACTCCAAAAATATCAATTATGGACGTAATAATTATCCTAAATAAATAAAGAACGTAATTATTTTTCTACTTTTTAGTATACTTTTTTGGAGTCAGTTAAATTTTTTAAAGTCAGTTTTTTATTAAAGGTTTTTTCCTTTAAGATTACTGTGATAAGTCACCAGAAACCCTCACAAATAGCTCCAATAAAATCTTCAAAGGAGAGGAGTAAAGAGGAGTTGATCGAGTCCTAAATAAAAATATCGAGAATAAAATGTCCTGTTTGTTAAAAACTACTTAGTTTTACGGATAATACTGACTGAAAGCTAGCCCGTAAAACAATTTTTTGTTGTGTTAACTTGCTCTACCATGGCATAAGATTCCACTAAAGCAATTTTTTAAGCTTTAGTTTAAATTAGTCAGCAATTTGACAATTGACCCATAATTTAACGTGATATTTCAATAAATCTTATTCTGAATTTTGTGAGATCCCATTGTCAAATTACTGGCTTCAAATAGAGACTGATAAAAGAAGAAAAAAACTGTAAGGGTCCCTTATGCCAAATGGCAAAAAGGGAACCCTAAAAAGGGTGACACGTTATTCGTGATAACATTCTTACCGAGCTGGGTTTGTGGTAATCCGAGCTGATATTCCTCGATCCATTAATAGAGCCGTAGCCAGTGGATGTGGGGGAGCTTAGACTGCCGCCTGGCGAGCTGAGCCGGCCAGGTGAGGCCCCCCTGCCGCCAGGGGAACTGGTTCGACCAGGAGACGCGGTCCGGCCACCAGGGGAACTGGTCCGGCCGACTGGACTGCCGACGCGGGCGCCAGGGTTGATGGAGTTCTGGAGGTCTGCGAGCAGCGCATCTGGAATTAAAGAAAGGGGGGTCATGAAATGGACTCGAAGAAATACAGGTTTATTAGAGTAATGGAAACTATTCGAGGTCAGATCTTATCATCATCATCATTTCAGCCATATGACGTCCACTGCTGAACATAGGCCTCCCCCAATGATTTTCACAATGGCCGTTTGGTGGCGGCCTGCATCCAGCGCCTTCCTGCTACCTCTATGAGCTCTTATAGGCAAGGAAAAATTAATACATAAAATAACCCTTGACATATTACATAAAGGCATATCCTCATAGATAGTGCTGGTGGACTTTATTTGTTGCAAGAAACATCGATTTTACAATGTAACATTGACTGAATATCTTTTACTAGTACGATAATTATTATAGGTTTACAGTTATTCTGAACGCTAAGGCTGGGTTGCACAATCTTACTTTAACTTTGACAAACGTCAAAAATCTGTCAAACTCTATCAAAAAACACCGGTTAACGTCATAGTTACCGTTAAAATTAGATGGTGCAACTCAGCCTAAGTGTCATCTCTTGTAGATATGGCAAGTGATAACGGCTATAAACCAGCTATAAGACAAATTAATTAAACGGTTTATAAACAAACAAGCGACTGATGACATCAGGCTTATTTAAGTCCCCCGTTTAATTGGGGCGATGTAGGTAAATACTGGATCACGGGAACTGCAGCAATTAAAGCCATTTGGTGTTACAGAACTGTTAGAACAACATGGGACTCTAAGTACAACGACCTTGTTATTACGAATTGCGAATTTGCGACTTATAATTTTACCACATTTGCCTAAAAATTGACAGATGACATCCGGCAACAAGCTGGAATAAACTGGATGCAAATGGTCAGGAACAGAAGTCGGTGGAAGGTTGAAGAGGAGGCCTATGTTCGAAGACGAACCCCCAAAGGCTGATATAGATGGACAGATTTTACAACAGAATAATAATGTAGTTCGTGTTTTACCAAAGACAGACAGAAAACCGTTCAAAATTACAACATCGTCGATGAGACTAGCAGTTCTTGAGAAACAATTGAAATGAAAACATACTTGTCAGCAAAAAGTCTTGAAAGCAAAAGGAATAACAAAAATGCGTGTTTCCCTACTAGGTACATGCCTCCAATTGAGCCCTATAGGGCTTTTTTTTGCCAATGTAGAGCGTTATAAAAGGGACAAGATGATGAACCCTTTTAGAGTAGGCGCACACCGTTGATTTTTCGTCGGCCGATAGTTTAGTCGGGCAGTTGATCAGTATGGGCATTGGGCATGTATGGGAGTGCGCACACTACGCCGATTCGATTTGGCCGATTCTTCATACAATTTAAAATCGGGCAGAACTATCGGCCAACTAAAAATCAACGGTGTGCACATACTCTTATAAATAAGAAAATTGACCCATTCAAAATTTTCATCGCAGTATTTTAAACATTTCTTGCCAAACGTATTGCACTTCACAAAACATGTCCGACCAAAGTGTATTTGTCAAGTCCTCGATCCGTAATCCTTGAACGTGTTTATCCATAACTAGTTTTGGATTTCGGAGTTCAATACCTTTCGAGTACTCGTTACGATCCAGGTGAATTTTAATAAGGTTACGATGAGAACAATCTCGCTTGCACACCGTTTCTTATCGGTCAACGACGGAATGCTTTAATGAAATTCTTTCAACGAAGATAGATAAGACACCATGAAGCTTTAGAACAATCAATATCTTTGAGATCACATACAACGATGATAACGGGACTATTCCCACCTCTCGTTTCCACCACTGCAACTCCTGTGTAGCCAGGATCTACAGCTTGACCGCCACAAAAACCCAACCAATGAAAGTCAAGTTTGTCCCGGGGAAAGTTAAACTGTCATTGGACCCGCAACGAAATACAACGATGATAGCTATTTAGGAGTTTTAGGACACATTTTAGCAAAGAATGTTATAAATAAAACTATACCTAATCCTTCGCAAGCTTCGTACACCTCAGCATAGTCAGTCTGCGGTTTCAAATCCGAATTGGTCTTCAATATTTTTCCATAAACGTCGTCGTTTACCGTATAATGTGTTCTTGACATCTTGATACAAATTCAAACCCGTTCCGAGTTAGTTATTTCGGCAACCACTGATCACATGAAACTGGTCTGGTCGAGCGACTTGCGAAAAAAAAAAAGGAACCCCAAACCAAGGGCAGAGGGATTCTAAATTTAAATATCTCCTTATGCCGGCTAAGGAGGCGCGGGCGACTCTCATATAGACTAATGCAGGACTGATTCACCTCGAGGCGCAGCCGCAAAAATCGCGCACAGCCTAACACATTGTTCACATAAATATTTGCGTTTCTACGTTTGAATTTCAAGCGCGTCGCTACAGAGCGCTGTACGAGCCCGTAATATGTCCATTATTCGGTTTACCGATATGTAGTTTGAACGTTTTATTCAACCTTGTTTGGTTTGAATCATCTTATGTAAATATGAATTCTATTTAATAGCTATCCAGTAGGGTGGTCCTTATTTTTCGACTTTTGAATTATCCCCGGGGCACTTCCTCATTCGATTATATACCTCTAAAGATGAAATTAGCTTTTTTTGTTTTTTTTTTTGGTTAAGATTTAGAGGTCGCTACCAGCTGTCAAAATATTTAAAAAAGCTTTGAAGATCTTAAATCATGGTTTCATAAATGTTTTATTTAAGCGTTTATATCACATTTTACGTGCAAATGAACATCGCATAGATAGAATAGACAATCGCTTCTTGTCCCCTTCTCCCCTCAACCCCTCTTCTGTACCGACCATGGTACCGACGCGTCGAGATACTAACAAGTAAACTCTTATATCTTAAAAATAATTGATTTAAATGTGTACATTGTACATAATATCTTAGTTCATAGCAACAACAATAATTTTGTAATATTTTTATTTGGCTTTAGCTTTAAAAATAAATGAATCTAACAAATACAGATTTTGTTTTTATTCAAACCTTGGTAGCGACCCCTAAATGTCTTTTAAAAATTAAAAAAAAAATAATGAAAAACTTTCATATGGTATATATTCAAATTACGTGGTGCCCCGAAAAAATATAAGAAAAAAAATTTTTTCATAGGAATAAGGACCACCCTACTATCCAGTATGCAAACTAGATATGAATGAGTAATATGTACAATAATTTTGCTTGTAAGTAATGATAGAGTTAAGTATGTAGACGTAGAGTCAATTGAACAAATAGTTAAAAATTGTATTGTTATGAATTTTAAAATTTCTCGATATTCTAAAGCCTTTAAATTCACCCAACTAAAGAATATTCCCAAACGATAATTTGTAATGGTTTAGTGTATGACAATAATGTAGGTCGAAGATATGCGTAAGAAACATTTTTCTGGAAATATTACGAATTATTATAATATTTACATAAACTGTCAGAAGCCTATCAAGATGAGCCATAAAGCACGATCTCCCGTTTTTCTCCTTCAGCCACTACTACATTCATAAAAGGTTGTCAGTTCATTGATCAGGTGAGCGTCTTACTCTACTTTATTAAGAAAGTCCAAAAATTGCTTCTTTATCAACTAACGCTTTCAAATCTCAAAGTTAATAAGGAACTGCTTTCTAATAAAGTTGTAAGCGCTGCAGTGCGTAAGGTCGTCGGTCAGTTCATCCGGGGAGCGTCTTACTCTACTTTATGAAGAAGATCCAAAAAATTACTTCTTTATCAACTAACAACTTCAAATCTCAAAGTTTTTAAAAACTGCTTTGTAATAAAGTCGTAAGCGCTGCAGCGCTGGAATGTACTGGTCATCAATGAAGCGCTGACGCCGCGATAATGAAGCCGAGCGTCATGCGATGACGCGGGCGCGGAATTTGTCTCGCTTGCTCTCGCTTATTGGCGGCATTTCGATTGGAAGATAGTAACTTTGACCTTATTGGAATTGACCTCTTGGAATAACCACAAGGTTTAAAGGCGCGGCGCCTGGTCTCAAAGTTGTAGAGATAAGTGCAATTGCAAATTCCTATTAAGAACCATATTCGGTTGTGCATAAGTAAATTAATTAATAAATAGAATAAAAACAATGAAGAGTCTCCGATGTTGATGAATGCAGCAAATGCAGCAGCCCAAAAGATTTAGGGCTAACTGACGCTCTACAGAAAAACCTTTATGAATTTCCCAACCAAATTAAAACCTACAACCTACTCATAACTAGATTAAAACTCTCCAAACAGCGAGACTTTATTCGGATATGAACGAATGATAAAGATCTCCAAACCAAAAACCAACCATATTATGCCGGAAAATAAAAAGTTGTCTATGAATGGGCCTCGTAGCAGCTAGTTCTTGTATTATTAATGAACTGCGCAACGAGCGTTGGTTCTAAATAACTTATTCATAAATGAGATTAAATCTTGAGTTTTTACTCTCTATTAAAAGATTCTTATGATAATACTACGCCCAGTTTTGCGTTTTCTTTAGAACAGTTAGCGCCTGTTAGGATTTTCTTAGCACAGTCACTCGTAGTGTTGGCTCGTAGCTCCGAGAAGCAAAACTTTACAAGGCGTTTAACATGCTCGTAGTTTATTGTATCGATGGCCGTAGCAAGGATGATCGTTTGATCATTGCTACGAGAAATTTTATTTTGTGTTTGTGTTTTCTACCTCTATTCTAAGATTTTTATTTGAAATGAAACTATCACTTCCGAAATATTTTATTGAGTTAGATAATTCCATTAAAGTATTTAGGGTTAAGAGTTCATGAAATATATTTCAGCAGAAAATTTTATTAGTTTCAAATAAAATAAGAAAACAAGAGTTCCAAGATAGAGCCCTGCTGCACACCCTTCAGAAAAGTAAGTTTACAACCATAATAAAACTTTACCGATGCAATTAGGTGTTTGCTTGAAATAGTGTAGCTTTACATAAAATACGAATGTTTCAGGTAAAAGAGCACCCAGAAACATTCTAAGTTTCTCAACTCCAGATATCGCGTATTGCATTGTATCTGCGTGTAACATAATTTTACATGCGGCGATATGCTAGTTAATAAACAATGCAACTTGTCGGTATCTATGAAGCATTTTGCGGTCCGAACCGCAAGGTTATCGGCGAGCTGACACCGCTCCTTGGCCGATAGATACTGTGCTAGCCGCAACTTACAAAATCACCAACACAGACTGGACAATACAACCGTATTAGTTTTCTAACCAGTCAATAGATACGCGGTCAAGAAAAACATTACCCCGGTTTACATCAAACATAATAGACAAAAAGCTTCGACCCATTACAGATTAGATGCGATTGCGCAACATTTGTTTACGGAGTGGCTTCGAACGCTCCACTGACACGCTACCGATATAGCGCAAGGCCGCACTATAAAAGCCACCTGACTCATTGGTAATTGTATCAATTTTTTCACTTACCTAAGTATGCGCTGAAGTCTGAGAAGTATTTCCTCCAATCGGTCGAACTCAACTCGGGGGGGTTCAGAGGTCCGCGGTCAGCACTGTACTTGCGTTCGAGGACGGGGGAGAACGAGACGGATTTGGGGGATGCAGAGCGCGTGCGCACGGACGCCATCCCTCTACACCAGGGTATAAAAGGCGGAGCTGATCAAATTCGCGGCAGTCGTGGTTGCACCGCGGCTGGGATAAGACTGGTTATTTTCGGTCAGATGGTGAGTTATCTGCGGGCGACGCTGGGTGATAGCGCGGTCGCACTGCGGAGCTGGCGACAGAGTTACGCGACGTGCTATTCCCGTCAGGTGGTCATTTCCGCCGTTTCACAACCTATAGCGAACTGACTTCTTCGTTAACCTATTTTCTTCACGGCGAGACGACGAAAAATAGGCCAAAGTGTAACAATGGTCGAAATACTTCTGAACACTGATACGTCGATGAGACGGGATGTAGAGTTGGCACGTCCAAATTACTATTTAAATTAGTGGGTTTCTATAAAAGGTTCGAGCGAAGAGGTTGTTTTTAATAGAAATTGTGCGGTCGTCATTAGAAGGGCTGGCGACACCTGTGTTTTACGTAAGTGCGTGGGCGGGCGCCGCCTCACGAATCGTTGAAAGCTCACGTGGTCGTCGTAAGCGGAATTAAACAGTTTTCCCTTTAGTTTCTACATAACACTTGAGAACAAGTAGTCTCTTGTTTGATTCCGTCGCCAAAGTAATCTCAGTATAGACAGTGGGGTCAGCTACAGCCAAATTGCTTTAATTGCAGTGGCATTACAGATAATAACGGTATGTTTGGCATACATTATGTTTGTTTCAAAGCGGAGTTATTAGCCTCATTGTTTTCCCGCTAATGACAGCTAGAAGGCATATCTTGAATGTTGAAGCGATTTTAAAATCGAGTGATTATTCGAATAAAGATTAGCTTTGTTCTTTGTCCACACGCCGTGGGCGGCGCCCATCGCAGTGGGTGTAACCTGACTGAAGGCCAGTACGTACTACTGATTGAACTAGATAAGAGTAAAAAGGTTTCCATAAAACCAGATAGACTAATCGTAGATAAGCGAAAAATTTTCGCTTTAGCAAGGGTGATTACATGAATAGATATTGAATCGGAAACAGTAGTCTAAGGACCAAAATGTAACAAAATGGATTCAAAGAGCTGAAATGATTAATTCTTCTTCAGATGTAGACTTTTAAAAGCACCCTGCTTCAGGTGGAACATTGTGGAAATAAATAGCTTTGATATTATTTACATGTTCATGTAACTTTTCACGGTATTGACATGTCGCAAGACAATATCACGTGCGCAGTGACACTTTATGTCGCAGAGTGATTGCCGGAAGCGTGGCTGACAGATGGTCGCGGTTCACTTGACAAATAAAATGTCCGCGCCTGCTATGATTGGTGTAATTAAATTGTAATGGCGCACGACAATGGCGGTGTAGAAATAATAAAATAAGATCTGGCATACAATAGTTCACTACATTGTTTATGTAGAGTTATAAAGTTCTTAAGCATGTCAAGAAAGTATCTGTAAGACTTCGAGATAGTAGTAGAGGTCTACAACACACACAGACTCTACAACGAGTATGCAAGGGCTATTATTAAGTCACACAATCAATAACAAGTCCATCAAGTTATTAACTTAGGTATTAGCACGGGAACNTTTTTTTTTTGGTTCGCAAATGCTATACGTATACAAACATTAGTTAGGTAGTTAGTAATGACTATAGTGCATTTCATGGTGATAATATTATGGATTCAGAGTTTCAAAGTTCATTTTAGTATTTATCACCAAGTACAGTAGATACTAACTTACGTACTACCAATTTTGTTTTGAGAAATTATTAAGGTAAAAGACCCGACCATGGGACGGGTTATGTAG